CGGTGCGGCTGGGGATGCAGGGGACACTACAATAATAGTAATCATCATCAGGCATCGCTGTGAAATACGGTGCGGCTGGGGATGCAGGGGACACTACAATAATAGTAATCATCATCAGCATCACCATGGTCGAATCATCATCATACTCAATGATTTTCATCATCACTGCTGGCGGCGCTGGGGGCTGGGGATGCGTAGCGAGGTCATCATCACTATCATCGTGACCGTCAGGTCCTTCCGTTCTTACGTACGTTTCAAGTGCGCCGATAGGCAGCGTTTGGCATGCTGGGGATGCGTAATCGTAATTATCAATATCACTGCAGTCTTCTTCATCATGATGGCGATCAGAAGCACCATCGCCGTCAATACGCTTCGCTGGTGATACTGGCAAAATCATCGTGATCATCACGTGGCTCTCTTTTGTGTGCTGTTAGGCAGCGTTTGGCATGTTGGGGATGCGTAGTCATGATTCTCATCATCGGTGTAGTCGTCCTCATGCATTGTGATCAGCATCATCACTATCAATACGTTTTGCTGGTGATGCTGGGGATGCGTAGAGATGGCTATCATCATTATCATCATCGTGATCATACATCGCTCTCTTTTCTTGTGTACGTTTCAAGTGTGCCGTTAGGCACCGTTTGGCATGCTGGGATGCGTAGTCATCTGCATCCTGATGGTTGTGTTTTTGGCATTGTCAGCAGCGTTGCTTCTGATCCTCGACGAGCAACGTTTTTGTGGCTTGCAGTCGTGGTCCCGAAATGGAAGCTTGACTTTCATGGAAAATCCTGTAGGTTTTGGCATGTGCGCGTGAGTCAGGGCACGCAGGTTGTTGTGCAATGGTCCCAAATTGGAAGCCGCCTTCTCAAGGTGTTGTTGCGCAGCGGTCTTTGTGCAGAAGCAGCAGTATCATTGCATTGTGGCATGTTGTCCTTTTTTGCTTCGTTTTTTGGGAGAGCCAAACTTTTTGAAGCTCTTTGGAAACACACAGTTTTTCCGCGCTCGGCTTCTGCCGGCCCATGTTTCTACTTCACTTGGACGCGGGTTGTACCAAGGCTCACAAAAGATATCCCAGAGCCCAGCATCAGTATTCAAGGAGTATACAAGGCCACTCCTTACAACCCACATCCCTTGCTATGCCACGTCCTGGTCCCCCTCAAGCTTCATGCGGTCAGCAGTTATGACATTATTATGATGATCATGATGATTATGATGATCATGATGATTATGATGATCATGATGATAATGGTCATGATGATGATGATGATGATGATGATGATGATGATGGTGCTGGTGGTGCTCGTCATGATCCTTCTCATTATCTTGTTCACAGTACCTTCAGCCCCTGCTCACTCAGCTCCCAATAGGCCTAACACAGGGGTTGGTGGCACAGGGCGGTGACCCTTAAATATCGGACAGTACAAGTGTGAAAGTTTGGTGTTCCTTTGTGGCCCCACTATGTCCGTTGAGCACTCCAATTTGATACTTGCAAAGGCGCCATCTCTGTAGAACTTGGCTTCGGCTGCTGTCATGGCCTCACAATGGCTCACGTTGAAAACAAATCCACCACCAATGCTGAGGCCACAACTTCAGCGAAACGGCTGAGCTCATGAGCGGAAAACGCATGAGACTTGGGTCAGGCAAAGCGATCGTGCCAACTGAGATTTGGCTGCACATGCTGGAACATGACACCGGACACATATGCTGAAACTCGGCACCGCCATTCTTTCCGAACCTTTTGGCGCTAATTCTACGCCAAGCTCACAGTGGGAATGCCTAGGTGCACGTCCGCTTCAAGAAGCCTTTAGTGCTTTGAGGTGCAGGCCAGGAAGCGAGAAGACCTGCCTGAGGCAAAAGCAAACGGCAAACCCCGGGAGTGTGCTAGAAAGCGCAAAGAAGAACACCTGGGGTCCCAAAACGGATTCGGGCGCACCCTGCATCTTACACGACGCAGGGTCCATAGGTGCTGGTGTTGCATATGCTTTCGGAATTAATGCCCAAAGCAGAGAGAGAGAGAGGAGAGATCCTGACGGCTGACTGTCCATGTCGCACGCCGCTTTGTGGCTTTGCGCCGCCCTGTGTTGTGCGTTGGTTAGACTTGCTTTCTGGTCCTCCCCCTTCACTCCATGGCGAGCTGGCTGAGGCCAGTGCTCCCCGCCCAGCTCGATCCAGCGCTCCAGTACCAGATTAGAATACCTCGCGCGGATTTCCGCGAACGAATCATAAGGCTTCCGTCAACTCAATGCGCCTCGGGGCTGCAAAGAGCGGCGTGTAGGCACTGGTGCCCTGGCGACGAAGTGAAGCTGTTTGCAATTCCCACACGGATGCCGTCGTCAACAGTTTTGAGCCATGGTCATGGTTCATTGGCTTGATTGGTTTGTGTCCATGATCATCCCCATTTTCATCAATGTCTCCTGCCTCCCGCGGGTAAATTCGTGTCAGATTTCCACGTCTCATGTTCTCCTCGTGAGCTTCCAAGATCAGGCGCCACTCGGCCTGGCGCTAGAAAGGCCGAGATCCTTGTCAACAGCTCCAGCATGCTCCAGCCTCTCCCAAGCTTTTCAAGGGAGCCGATTTAATCGTTGAGACCTGCAGCGTGACTCGTGGCATCTGTCCCGTTCTCTCAGCTTCCCGGCCGTGTGAGACCTTGTCGTTGAAAGACTCCTTGGGAGGCCTCAGGCTGCAAAATTCTGCGAAGCCGAAGCTCCAAAAGCTGAACCAAAGCGCGCCTTGCAAACGCTTGGCTTGCTCCTCCTGGCGAGCTCGTGCATGAAAAGGCAGCCCCCTCTCAGAGTGGACCTTGCAGGTTTTCTCCACGGCGTCGTGGTCGTGCGGCACGAGCCCAACCAATGTGAACCTCAATGCCCAGGCTTTTGAGGAGGAAAGTTGTGCGCCACCGAGGGAGTCACACGTCCGCGATAAGCTGCGTTTTCACCCGCTTGTCGTACGGCGACGAAGATGAAAATGACCTGAGCCAGGTGGCCAATAACTTCGCTTCTTCCAAGCTACCCCGAGCTTTGGACGGAAAAATGTTCACTTCTAGCAGCCAAGGCCTGTGCGACACGTTGCTCCGTGTTCGGTTACATCCCTTTCCAGATGGGCAGAAATGGCAACGTTTTCTTTGACCATTTTTTAACCAACAGGCTTTCCGCTTCCGGCTACATGTCAAAATCTCCTGTGTGACTGGGACCGCAGCTGAAGCTCATCATCCACCATGACATCAAAGCCTGGGACGCCCCAAGACAAACGGCTTCTTGACATCTCGTAAGCTGCTCGCCGTAGATCTCGAAGCAAGTCTGGTTTGGGCCAACCTGACTTGAAATCAAGGCACAGTCGTGAGCATGAGCTCAAGCCAAAGAATGCAGTCTCAAAATGGCGTTGTGCTATTTGCATGGTTTGAGGGTTTGGAACAATCATGCTCTCCAGCCCAAGAGATTGCGACCCCCGGCCTGCTGAATGGGTGACTGGCTGACGGTGGAGAAGTTGGCTCCCTGGCTCAGCCAACCCATGGCTCAACTTCGAACCCGGCATCCCACTCGCTTCCGCACTTCCGCCTGGTGCCACGTGTTGACGATGTGCGGCCTGCGGCGTCAGAAACGACTCGCGCTTAACATGCCTGGCCATTGGGAGCCCCACTCAACCGCGATGAGGGTCTTGATGATCAAGTCCTCGATTCTCGTCATGACGAGGTCGTAGTCCACGTCTGGGAAAGGTCGGACGGCGGTCAGAGATCTGCCAAACTGGGCGAGCCGCTGTTCTCTCCTGTAACACTGTAAGGAAGAAGCAAACTGAGCTATACTGAGCCATAGAAGTCTGGTGGAGTGGCCTGAACGGCCACTTGCATCAGCGCCTTGAGCTGAATCAAGTTCATGTGTTCATGTTTTCTTTGTGCTCGGAGTTGACGACCCTGTGTTTTGATGCCGTTGACTTTGCGCAAGCTAGATGCGCGCCTTGCGTCTAAATGCCTGCTGATTCGTTTCAGCATCCCTCATTGTCTTTTCTTGCTCTCGCTGCCACGCTGCCAAAACTTTCGAGTCTCAAACATGTGAACTTTGTCCAAGATTGATATCACGGCGACATATTATGATTGAACTGGTCTCATAGTGTCGCAGTGCTGGCACTCGTTTCGGGCTTGCTCGCCTATGTCTGCACCAAACCTGTACGCGCAGCGCGCACTTCCTCAACCTTGTTCCCATTGTCTCTGGGCATATTGGCAACAAAGCTGCGGACTGGTTTTGGCAGCATGGCAGCCAACAAAAAACATGGCGAAAGGTTCTCTACACTTTGTGCAGAAGACGTCGGGGCACCTTGCGCAAAACTGGCAACTGCCCAATGTTATTTGAGACGGGCCAGGATGGAAAAGAGCTTGTTCGTGTTTGTTTGTTGAGGGGGAACCTTTATGTAGTCTTTTAGCACGACTATTATTTGGCATACCGAGCCGATCACATATCCTTCCAATTTGGCATATTTCCCTCAAGGGGGATCCACTCCAAGGTGAACAATCCAAGTCGTCTAACTTGTCCTGGCCTTGCGTTGCCAGGTACTCTTGCAGCTGCCTTGGAGTGGACATGCCATTCGAATGGCGGGTCGGATAGCCAGGCCTCAAGGACCACTTGGACGACCCAGATTGGTCCTCCTCAAGCTGAATAGTAACTTCCTCCCTCTCCGTCGCTCGCTCTCTCTCTCTCTCTCTCTCTTTCCTGAAATCTTCCCGCTCCTGTGTGTCTGCTCCGCTATCGGCCTGCACAGCCTGACAACGCTAACGTTCAAGGCTCCCGGCTCAAACCACCTACCTCGGTGTCTTCTCTTCTATCCTCGTCCAGGTTCTGCTTGTAGCCTGTGAAGAGCAGCCAACCAAAGTCCTGTCTCAAGTGCCTCAAGTGCCCAGCTTGCAGCATGCTTGTTGACCGAGTAGTTGGTCAAATGCATGGTGCGTTCCTGCAAACCTGTGTCCGAAGGCCGACGTTCAATGGATTGGCTGCCGCTTGCATGGCCCAGTGAGCCCGGGGCTATCTGGCGAGCAGTTGTACTTCTGCGTGGCCAGGCGTACCAAGCCTTCTTTATTGATGTAGACCTCACTGGACATTTGGGTAAGCACTGGAGGAATCGGACAACTTCCTGCCTTCAAGGGATCAAAGGAGGTGACCTGAGCGCCCCATTGCGCCAAAGCATCAAATCGTCCCATAGGGAGCAAGCCACAACGTAGAGGCGCAGATCGAACTTGAAGCCATTGACCAGCAGCCTGTTGATTGGAGAAAAAGAGCCTCACTCACTCAGACTCAGCTTGGCACGGCCGGTCAACGTAGCGCTGCACCACCCCAGACCTGCTTTTTGTTAGGCGTTCCATCCCAAGCCAAACGAATAAGCTGCCTTTGCAAAAGCTTCTTCTCCGTCGCAGGAGCAATGGAGGAGTCAAAGAGGCCTAGGACTCGGCTTCGGCGTTTTGGGCGCCGAGCGCCTGAGAAGCCGTCGGATGCCCTTGCCGCAACCTGAGCTTTAGCAGAAATTCGAGGTCCGGTCCTTCTTTCCCTTTGGGCCAGAAATTATGACATTCGACTAGAGGCCCCAAACCATGAAACACATTGGTCGAGGCGCTGAGGTTGATGGGCTTCCAGATCCACAGCGCAGCTGGGTTCTTCTCACGAGCCTCTCCGGCCCGACCCCTTTTTGTGGGCGAATGGAGACGTTTCCGAACCCAATCGACAAGGAAAAAACGCAGGGGTCCGAGCGCCGAACCAAAGGACAACGCAAACCAAACAGTTTCAAGGCAACGCTCTGGATCCATCATGAAAGCCACTTTTGCTGAGTTACACCCTATTGGAAGTCAGACAAATCGGGTTCCGTCACCTGCTGTTGAAACTCGTTTTTGGTCATTGACATGAGGATAATTAAGGTTTCAGATCCCAACTCCTTTTGAGGAACTCCGTTCAAATTACGCATTGAGTCGCGCCTGGGCCCAGGCAGCGCCATCCTCCGGCAGGCTAAACCCAGGAGGCCTCTCAACTACGTGAGTGCCAAGCGCGAGGGATTTTGCTCACCTCGTAAATTGTCAAAACACCTTGCAAAAGGGCACCTTCTATTTTGGGACACGGGTGCAGAAGCACTTGAGGTCGAAAGATCCCAAGGCTGCAATGCCAAGGCTGCTGCATGATGCTGCATTCTTTGGGAAACTGCCGCTTCATCCTGAAAGCGTCCCCCGGTCTACTTCGCCGCAGTCAGTTCTTCACAAGATAGATCAAGCAAATTCAAGCAAGCCATTCACTGTCAAGCACCCTCGAAGCAGGCATGGCGTCCTGTAAACGTTCTTGGCGAGAAGATCCTGCGGCATGAGACGCAAGGCAAATCACAGCCGTGGTTGGCTTCCGTCCTTCCGGCCCAGTTGCCAGGAGCCCGGAAAGTGGTTCGCCTTTTGGAAGGGGTTGAAGCTTCGCAGCCTCGCGACTGTCGCTGAAAAGCGGAGATCCGAGGATTCCAAGGGCCGGGCATTTCAACGGAGGGGTGCGGACCTGGCCAGCTGGCAGCCAGCTGGCAGCTGGCTCCCGCTCGGTTCGGTTCGGTGCTCGATCCGAGGATGGCACCCCAGTAGATGGAAAACTTGGATGAGCCCGAGCCCACAGCAACTCGGCTCAGGCCTGCAGTCCTCGAAGAGACGCAAATGCCAAATGCGTTATGGGTGCCAGGTTGTCATGGGACTGCCCCTTCTCATCCCAGCTCGGGACGCAAAGGTATTGACGACAGCGTTGTACCTTGTGCCCATTGCCAAACAGCTGTCCTCCACTCATGGTCAGAACCTGCTGAAATCGGCGCACTCATGGACATCCTTTGTGGTCTGCAGGCAGAAGTACATCCTGAAATCATGCAAAGGCTAATGCCAGCCACCAAAAGAGATCCAAAGATCTTTTTGTAGGCCAAGGCCAAACGAGCAACAATCTCATGTTGGGTTTACGCAACCCTCATTTCCTCGAAATGTAGGGTCTACCGGTAGGAGGCAAGGTCCCCTTTCCGGTGATTCCTTCGAGGTCATATCGCTTGCCAAGGTTCTGGGCCAACGAGGTGATACCCATCGCCTCTAGGTCCTCGTCGCTGACACGCCTCAAGGCAAATGGTCGCAATCCAACGGTGACCAATCAAGCCAAGGAACATCTTTCAGTTCAGAGTCATGGGTGTGTTTTGAGGGTAGCCGTTTCGGGATTGCTCGAAAACGGAGACCCCCCATTCCACGGCAAGCCGGAAGAAGCCCGGCCTGCAGTCCCGGGGCGCTGCGTTGCAGCGCGGGTCGTAGTCGAAGAGAACCGTCGGCCTGCGTGATCTCCGACCAACCACAAAGGGGGGCTGTGCACGGGGGGTGCTCCAACCATCTGGTTCTTTGCTTGGGAACGCCATCCACGGAATGAGGAAAAAATGGACAAAGGAACCGCTTTGCAGCCAAGGAACGGGCGACCAGCAAAAACCTGAGCCAAGCGATCAGCCCACACCCTCCCCGAGCCGAGATACTACCTTTAAATTATGGCAATAATATGTCGTCATAGTTCCACAGGAAGGAACCCTCACAATGGTCTACAGCCTCTATGAATTGATGATAATTTCTATCAGCCCCAAGTCAAAGAGTGATTTCACCATAGCACGCATTATGTAGCTGACGAGTTATTTTGCTCGTTTGGCGTGACTTTGTCTTGTTTGTTGCCCTGGCTTGATGGTTCCGTGTCTTTGATGCTTGAACAGTCCTGGTGTGGCGTGCTGTGTTGTGCAGGCTTCGGGGTGGATGAGCTTGGGGTGGTTTTAAGGGCAAGCATGGAGTTAGTATTGGGTGGATTCAGGGTAGGTCAGGGTTGGGGTGAAGGCTAGGTTTGGAGCGGGTTTAGGGTTGATTTGGGGATGCTGGGGTGATTTGGGCTTACGACTCGTTCATCCTTCACCTTTAAAGGTCTATACCCTGACTATCGTTTTTCCAGACGCCTCGTCCAGCCGGACTTGGTAGGAGGCTAGCTGAACAAGTTTGGCTTCAAAATCCGTCGCTATGTACAGTGCATCTGAAATCGGAAACTCGCCTGTCATGCGAGTCAAGCATTTCCAAATGTTTTCTTACGGAATCAAACAAATGAGGCAAATGACTTTATTCAATTCCAGTGTGGCAAGTTACGATTCGAGCTGTTTTTGGTCCTGTGTCCCAATGTACGCATGCTTTTCCCAATGGAATATCCGCCGACCCCCCTGCCTGCAAGGGGAAGGCGCTGGGGGAGTGTTCGTTTAGCGTTGGAGCGTGACTGTGGCAGCCTTCTCCCTTCCCTTTCGCCCTCGCCCGTTCAGCCCTGTACCTTACCAGCCTTCTTTCTTTCCCTTTTTTCTTGTTCTTCTTCGTTTCTTTTCTTTCCTTTTCCTTTCTGCTGCCGGCGCACTCCTTTGGTTGGTGCTCGCTGTGGACAAACGAGTGCGGCCTGGAAAAGCGCGGGAAGCGAAGCTTTTGTGGCTGGCCGCTCCCTCTGGACCGATAGCCTTTCTGCATATTGGACTCAAACGCGACGTTAGGCACCCGGCCGCGGCGGAGCAGGCTGCCGGCGCACTCCTTTGGTTCGTGCTCGCTGCGGCGAAGCGAGTGCGGCCTCCAAGCGCGCTGGACGCGAAGCTGTTCTTGCTGACCGATAGCTTTCTACTTTCTAGAAAGGATTCAATAGTGACGTTCGGCACCCGGCCGCGGCGGAGCAGCCGCCCTTGGCAAGACGCACAGCAAAAGGGAGAAAGACCAGGGATAGGCAAACTGGGACAGACGCAGGCGCACATGGGCATGGACAGGCCAGGGATTGAACCCGGCCCCTCTCGCATGCTGAGCGGGTGTGATGCCACTACACCAACTGCCCCTGAGCTGAGGAGGCCGAGAGTGCTCAACTACCTGCTGGGCAGCGCTTTCAGCGCTGAAGCTCTGTCACGGCCAGCCCGTTCGGCCTGTTTTCTTCCTATCTGCTGCCGGCGCACTCCTTTGGTTGGTGCTCGCTGTGGGCAAACGAGCGCGGCCTGGAAAAGCGCTCAAGCACCTGCAGGGCACAGTTTTCAGCGCTGAAGCTCTGTCCGGCCCGCCCGTCCGGCCTTTTTTCTTCCTTTCTGCTGCCGGCGCACTCCTTTGGTTGGTGCTTGCTGTGGGCAAACGCGTGCGGGCCCGCCCGTTCGGCCTCTTTTCTTCCTTTCTGCTGCCGGCGCACTCCTTTGGTTTCTTTCCTTTTCCTTTCTGCCGCCGGCGCACTCCTTTGGTTGGTGCTCGCTGTGGACAAACGAGCGCGGCCTGGAAAAGCGCGGGAAGCGAAGCTTTTGTGGCTGGCCGCTCCCTCTGGACCGATAGCCTTTCTGCATATTGGACTCAAACGCGACGTTAGGCACCCGGCCGCGGCGGAGCAGGCTGCCGGCGCACTCCTTTGGTTCGTGCTCGCTGCGGCGAAAGCGAGTGCGGCCTCCAAGCGCGCTGGACGCGAAGCTGTTCTTGCTGACCGATAGCTTTCTACTTTCTATATAGGATTCAAAAGTGACGTTCGGCACCCGGCCGCGGCGCAGCAGCCGCCCTTGGCAAGACGCACAGCAAACCCAAAGGGAGAAAGACCAGGGATAGGCAAACTGGGACAGACGCAGGCGCACATGGGCATGGACAGGCCGGGGATTGAACCCGGCCCCTCTTGCATGCTGAGCGGGTGTGATGCCACTACACCAACTGCCCCTGAGCTGAGGAGGCCGAGAGTGCTCAACTACCTGCTGGGCAGCGCTTTCAGCGCTGAAGCTCTGTCACGGCCAGCCCGTTCGGCCTGTTTTCTTCCTATCTGCTGCCGGCGCACTCTTTGGTTGGTGCTCGCTGTGGGCAAACGAGTGCGGGCCCGCCCGTTCGGCCTCTTTTCTTCCTTTCTGCTGCCGGCGCACTCCTTTGGTTGGTGCTCGCTGTGGGCAAACGAGTGCGGGCCCGCCCGTTCGGCCTCTTTTCTTCCTTTCTGCTGCCGGCGCACTCCTTTGGTTTCTTTCCTTTTCCTTTCTGCTGCCGGCGCACGCCTTTGGTTGGTGCTCGCTGTGGACAAACGAATGCGGCCTGGAAAAGCGCGGGAAGCGAAGCTTTTGTGGCTGGCCGCTCCCTCTGGACCGATAGCCTTACTGCATATTGGACTCAAACCGACGTTAGGCACCCGGCCGCGGCGGAGCAGGCTGCCGGCGCACTCCTTTGGTTCGTGCTCGCTGCGGCGAAGCGAGTGCGGCCTCCAAGCGCGCTGGACGCGAAGCTGTTCTTGCTGAACCGATAGCTTTCTACTTTCTATCTAGGATTCAAAAGTGACGTTCGGCACCCGGCCGCGGCGCAGCAGCCGCCCTTGGCAAGACGCACAGCAAACCCAAAGGGAGAAAGACCAGGGATAGGCAAACTGGGACAGACGCAGGCGCACATGGGCATGGACAGGCCAGGGATTGAACCCGGCCCCTCTTGCATGCTGAGCGGGTGTGATGCCACTACACCAACTGCCCCTGAGCTGAGGAGGCCGAGAGTGCTCAACTACCTGCTGGGCACAGCTTTCAGCGCTGAAGCTCTGTCACGTAACTTCATATTTCAAATGTGGCGTTACGAACCTTTGGTAATGCAGAGGATGCTACGATGATAGTTATCATGACAGTCATCCGCAGCTTTGCTAATGCAGAGGATGCTACATTGATGGGTATCATAAGAGTCATCATCCTTATCATCTTCATGATGATTGTCATCATAGTCACTACCTTCATCATCGTCATCATGATTGTCATCATCATCTCTTTCTTCTATACGTTTCTAACGTGGCGTTAGGACGATGGTAGTTATCATGACAGTCATCCGCAGCTTTGGTAATGGAGAGGATGCTACGATGATGGTTATCATAAGAGTCATCATCCTTATCATCTTCGTGGTGATTGTCATCATAGTCATCACCTTCATCATCGTCATCATGATTGTCATCATCATCATCATCTCTTTCTTCTATCTTTCTTCTATATACATTTCAAATGTGGCGTTAGGCACCCTTGGTAATGCAGAGGATGCTACGATGATAGTTATCATGACAGTCATCCGCAGCTTTGGTAACGCAGAGGATGCTACGATGATAGCTATCATAAGAGTCATCATCCTTATCATCTTCATGATGATTGTCATCATAGTCATCACCTTCATCATTGTTTGTCATCACCTCATCTCTTTCTTCTATACATTTCAAATGTGGCTTTAGGCACCCTTGGTACTATGATGATAGGTATCATCCTAGTCATCATCTTCATCATGATCAGCATGAGGGTCATTATGGTTTCGTATTACTTCTTACTTCTTGTATACATTTCAGAAGGGACGATAGATAGCATTGGTGATGCAGAGAATGCGTCGTCATGATTATCATGATGAGTGCTGGTGGTGCTGAGGATGCGTCATAATGATTATCATGCGACTTGAGATGCAAAAGATGCGTGGACATGATTATCATGATGACTGCTGGTGATGCTGAGGGTGCGTCATGATGATTATCAGCCGATTTGTAATCGACGTCATCGTCCAGCATCATCCAGATCATGACTCAAGTACGCAGGGTTGTGGCTCGGCTACTGGGGTTCAAGTTTACAGTGAAACCAAAAACAAGATCAAAATTTGACCAGGGCGAAAATTTAACATTTCACCCAAAAGAAACCAAAGAAACCAAAACCAAGGGCACTGTTTTCTTTTGCTCGAAAACCACAACTAAATCCAGGGGTCGGCGGCACTGGGCGGCAGCCCTTAAATTAATTCTAAGGGGATCTCAAAAAAAGGGTGCACACGAACCTCGCCAAGAGCATTATCTTGCTAATGCTGCTGCTACTGCTCCTACTACTGCTGCTGCTGCAACTCCGGCTGCTGCTACGACTACGCACACACCTAAGCCAACGACGACGACGACGACGACCGCCGGTACTAGCACGGAAACACGTCCCAAGACAGCGCACCCTCCAAAATACATGATGCTGGATCATCTGGATCGGTGCAACTTTGGCTTGTGGTCGAAAAGCTCGGATTTGCTCTGGGCAGACCGGCGGAGCCCAGCAAGGCCAGCTCCGATTTCTTTCCACCTGAGCAGCATCAGTTCACCGCACGTGGGGAGTTTCCGGGCGCACTGGACGTTGCCAAGCCTCAGCGCAGCTTGCTTCGCGACTTCGGGTCCCCACAGACTTTGGGCGCAGACCGCCAAACCACACGGGGGCAATCTTCACAATCTTCACCTCGGCCTGAAGCCAATCAGGCAACAAGTCCCGGCAACCAAGAGTCCCATCTGAGGAAGCGAAACGGAAAGACCCCAACCACAGCCAGAAGCAAAAGGCAAACGCAGGGAAATCTCTTTCAGTGGGTTTCCCGTCAGTCTCCATTGGAGGCGGAATGAACCCCTGGAAAAATGGGATTCTTTCGGCCACACCCCCACCAGAGACGGACAGTCCCATCTCGCGTGCTCGCGCCTCCCCTTTTCTCGGGGAGACATCTTGGCTGGCGGGCCGGGCTCCTGCCGCAGATCCCAAAACCCAGAAAGCATCGAAATGGAAGCTGTCCGCTTCTCTGACTTCATTTGCACAGGTTTCGATTGGCAAATACAAGGGGGAAGGATTCGGGTCAGACCCCCAGTTGCATATAAGGAAACCAACACCAAGCTTGCATTTGAGACATGCCCCATTTGCCAAGGAAATATCTAGGTTCTTTTTCTGGCAGCATATGGGTGCACCTTTTCTTGAGGATGCCGGCCTGTTTGTGTGGGAGAGGGTGGTGCGAAGGACACGCTCCAAGTGTCTTATTGTGAGGGTACCCTTTTGGACTTGCAAGTCCTTTGGATTGTTAGAAGGCTTCTTCCCTGGATTGGAAAGGGACACCAGCGGGAAACCAGGAGCCACCCTTTCTGGAGGTTTCTCACCCAGAAACGGAGAGCCCCTTGCGGCACCCCATCCCCTGCCTCGCGGAAGCCGCTGAGCACCCTCGCGGATGGGCCGCCGCCTCAGGGATTCCAGGTTCCCAAAGTTGCAAGAGCCAGAAGTGCGTCTTGTTTTTGATGAAAGGTTCTTTTTGAGGGTGTGGCTCTTGGAATTCCAAAATTCCAAGATTGTTCTTTGAGGGTACCCTTCTTCGGGGGTTGATTTACAGAAGGAAACCCCACCATTTCCGAAGGGGTTCCCTGACAATAGACACACTTGATCAGCTTTGCTCCCATGGAGAATTGCACCAGCCCGCCCCGGCCTGGTTTCCGGCGCCCGGACCTCCCGCTTGGGGTCGACCTTAAAGCGTCTCATCTTTGCCGCTCGAAACGGAGCCAAAAGCAGCCCTCACTTCAAGGGCCGGGCAACTTCATGTTCCCGCCTTCAGCAAAAGCGCTGGTGGCAACAGGAAATCTCCCCTTCTGAGTGTGCAGGCGAGTCAGGAGCTTTGCCTGCACACTTGGGGCTCAAGAGAGCAGCTTTGCCCTGCACCCAGCCTAGTGGAACCTCCGGCAACCCAGGAGCTCTGACACAGAATGTCCTGGCAGCTTCCCCAACGCCTTTTGGCCCAGGCGAGAAAGAAGCACAGTTCGAGAGAGACAACGAGAGCCAGGCGGCGCGAGTGCACGTATCTGTGGTGAGCGTAAAAGCAAAATGCGTGAGCGCACAACTGACTGGCCAGAATCACTCGTTCAAATGTTTCAGTAGACAAGCCAGGCAGTGTTGTCGGCCCAGAACTCGCAAATAGCTCCAAAATACACATGAGCCGTTGGCGTCCTGAAGTCGCCTTCCTCGCGCAGCGCGGTTTGACGGAGGATCTTCTTCCTAGCAAAAGCGGCACGTCCCCCACTTTGGCTTCCCATCTGAGCCGCGCTCCAAACCCCTTGCGGCGCCAGCTGCAACCCGGTGCCCGTGACGATGCCTTGGCGCCGAAAATTTCGCGACTTCCGCAAAGTCTTCTGACCACCCAACCCATCCAGCCCCAAGCCCTTGTGTGACACAGGTTTTGCTCCCCTCAGACTATCGTGGAATCACGAGCCACGTCCTGAACGTGTCATGCTTTGCTATGTGTTGTCATTTTGCATACGTCACTAGCTTACGCTACCTGCCGCGTGTGGAGTTGTTCCTTACGCGACAGATGTGGAGGTTGCTCGCGCCACCAACTTACGCCTACACGCGTGCAGCTTTTGATTACGCACAGGTCAACATGACACGACTCTTACCGTTAACATGTACACGGAGGTTTGGGATGCCGCTCAAATGGACTGGTTCCTCTTTTTTTTCTTGGGGGGGGGTGTCCATCTGGGAGTGGGTCAAAACATAAACCACTAGGGGACCGCAGGTAGCCATCTCTGAGTGGAAACCCAACCTCCTTCACTCCGCCTCTCCGCGGCTCTAAAGGGCCCCCCAGCCGTGCGGGGAGGGCGATCTCATCCGCCGGGGCCGCAGCCACCTTGCCCTCTGACCTGGCATCAAGCTCGGCATCTGCCGCTTGTGGGTACCCTTGGTGCTTGGGTTGGTTAAACAAAGGACAAAAATGAAAACTCACACACGTGTTTATCAATTCAGACACACACAAAATAGGAGATCTGCACCCTCCCAACTCTTGATGATTCCCTTGTAAACACTATCAAAAGAGTGACGCGCACTTTGGATGTGTACACAGGAACCGACAAATCATCAAACCGCCAGGCCTCAGTCCGCTGTTTGCGGAAGCCCTATGGACTACGAGGTATTTCTCGAAATGGGGGGGGGCTTGGTCGGAAAGACTTGGCAGTTGATCAATATTCCTGTTTCCGGAAAACGCCATCTTCGCGAGAAAAAAAGTTTCTTTCGCGAATCTATCGCGACTCCATCGCCACGCCCTTTTGTTTGCAGCGTGCGCTCTGGAGCCATTGCGGCTGCTGCAGTTGTGCTTGCAAACACGGTAGCCGCAGTTCACTTGCGTGCAGTACGTAGTGTCAAGTGCAGGCAGTCACCGTCATTCGCCCTTGCCACTTGCGGTTGCCGGCGATGTGCGGAACCTTGCAACAAGCTCCCTGGCCTTTCGCCGGTCTTTCGCGAAACTTTCTCCAAAATTGCCCAGCCAACGTTATTGATTTGCACCAATCCCAACACAGGCAGGGAATCAATAATGCAAGTGTAGGTGCTGCGTATCTCCCTCTCTACAAGGGAGCGGGGTCTGCACATGTGTAAGTGCACAGGCATGCCTCCAAGAATTCAACGCGGAATCTTTCGCGAACAAATAAGTTTCTTTCGCGAACTCCATCGCCGATCTTTCGCGGCGGGATTTAAGCCAAGACGAATGGTCACCGAATACATAACTCCTTGCAAGGACCTTTTGATCAACCCCCACTTGTTCATCTTTGAAGGTGTGCCAACAGAAACTCCCTTGGATCCCCATTGAGGCCTTGCATCAAGACTTGTTTGGGCTTGTTCAAGCCCTTACCAAAGCTTGGGCGTTTCTAGGGCGGCCTAGAATGTGGAGTTCCCAGGTGGGGAACCCAAAACCCCGCATCCAACCGCCCAAACGCTTTCCCTCAGGCGGGCACCATGTGGCCGAGGGAAGGGCTCACAGCTCGAGCAAGTGCGGCCAGAGGTATTCAACAGGATAAACAAGAAGGCGGAGTGTGTGTCTGTCTGAACATAGGTAACCCCTTCCAAAAAACAGCACACACACACACACACGTGATTTGGTTTCCCTTTAAGCCACCCCTTCTCAGGCATGACAAACAGGTTGGGGGGTGGAACAAATTCCCCTCTGTTTGTGCAGACCGTCTGCATGGGGTCCAGTTGCTCCTGACGGCTGCAACTTTTGTTTCGACGCAGCCATCACCTGAGGGTCGTCAGGGCTCCGACACCTGTTAAAAATGAGGGGAGTCCCCAACGACAAACTACCCGATTTTTATTTTAGTTGAGATGGTTGCTGATCCGGGTTCGTTCGCGCCAGTGAGGCCGCATACACAGGGCTTCACCTGTGAACCGTGAGACGGAACAAAATCTGAATTCGTCTCTGCCGTTTGGCAGTGGAGTCTCACCGGGCACCGGTTCGCTGCTGGCAAGCTTAAAGACACGTCCTGTTTCAACTGACGCTAGCCAGTCAGCGCCTGCGGTGTCTAACTGGAATGCAAGAGTCACCGGAACCTGAGCGAAATCCGGCGATCTTGGCGTAATCACCGCTTCTGGCCATTGCGAAATCTTACGATCTGCTTGGCAAAGTCCCTCTGGCCAGCCGCGAAGCTGGAAAAACGACGTGCCACGGCCGCCTAGCCCCATACCGCAGGCTCGCGAACAAAGGCCGACCGATCTGTACAAACACTCCGTGCATTGGAGAGTGCAAATAAGTTGAGACATAATCAGCGTCTTGCCGCGCTGCAAATCCTGACCAACAAATCCAGCGGCAACTGACAAGTTCTTTTGAAACCGCGCGCCTGCGCGGTTCAAACAGCTCTGGCCTGGGGCCCATACACATGCCCTTGGGCCCTTGGGCTGGTGAGAGATGCTGAGAGCATCGCCCGGCGCTCCCAGGACGGCAATTCTTGCCACCAGGCCTCGAGGGATCCCGGAAATCTCCCGCTTCCCCAAATGAAGCAAACCCAAAAGCTGGCGGGGCCATTTCTGCGGGTGGACCTACGATTGCCTCACCCTGGGATTTACGCAGGGTGTTTGACACCTCATAAAACTGTGGGAAAGACTTCCTTGTGGCTTCCTCTTGTCCACGTGCCTGGAGGAGCTGTGAGAGGCTCGCTTCAGTGAAGGGCACGGGCATGGGGTCCTGCATCCCATCCAACTGACTCACACAAGCTTCCGACAAAAATCAAAAGGAAAACGACCATTTTGCGGGGGAGGACCCCAAAAAGGGAAAGACATGCCCATGTGCTTGCAGATTGGTTTTGTTCTGAGGGTCGCGTGGGTGTTGTAAGCTCAGTCAATTCCGCCCTCAGCCCGGGGGGAAGCTCTTTGTGGCACTGCAAGAACTCCGAGCTCTGTGTGGGAACCCGGTCTTAAAAGGAGACCCCAAATTCGTATGGGAAGGCGGTTCTCCACACCTTTCAAGGCCGGCACAGACCGTCTGCTAACCTTCTGCGTGGCTTCCCGCCTTGCGCAGCGAGGAAGCCCCACCTCAGAGTCAACCGGGCGCAGCCACGAGCTCTACACGACAGAACACCTGGGATGCGAAATTTGCCCGTCTGACATGATGTCCTTTTCTTGAGGGCTCCCTATGCTTTCGGGGTTGCTTCAAGGCAACTAAGAGGAAGTTACTGGAGGTTCCCCTTGGTGCAATCACTGGGTGCACAGCGGAGGGGCAGATTGTCCAGAATCTCCAGAGCCGCAGGTCTCACCAGACCTCGACGAGTCAGCTTCGCGCCCCTTTGGTCCAGTCAAAATATGGGCATTGTCTATTTGGTTTGGGGACCTGCATCGTGTACGATGTCCACCAACCATGTGGGAGGCTACTGCACATCAAATCTCACAGCCGCATGATGGCCATATGCCTTTAGCAGAAAGGATATGCGGAAGGATGGGTGAGTTCGTCCATGTGATTCAATGAACCATAGACTGGACATTTTCACCGAGGGATCTGCGGGCCAAAAAAACTGAGGTGCCGGCTGCGGAGTGGCTTCGTCTGGCTCTGGGCCTGGCACGCAACTGGGTCAGGGGCGAGTCAGGAAACAGAGTCAGGAAAAAACTGGTGGGTCCAAGTCAGGAAACAGGTTGGGTCGTGTCAAGAAATATGTGGATGCGATGTTGTGAGTCAGGAAACGGCCCCGGAAACGACAGGCACAACGCGTCGGGGAGTTGTGAAAGGTTTGGAGTCAAGTGAATAAGGTTTCGTGAGTCAGGAAACATCGGTGAGTCAGGTGAAAACGGCAGGAACAATGCGGCGCGGCATTGTGAAAAGTTTGGAGTCAAGTGAATAAGGTTCGTGAGTCAGGAAACGACCGTCGTAAGTCAGGAAACGGCCCCGGAAACGACAGGAACAGCGTGCCGGGGCCCTATCAGAAGTTTGGAGTCAAGTGAATAAGGTTTCTCGTGAGCCAGGAAACGAGGAGCGTGAGTCAGGAAACGACGCGGAAACGACAGGTACAGGGGTGTTGTTCGGCTTCGTGGTTCTCGTGTTCGTAATCGCGCGATGTAAAAACTTCTTTGAACGTTTGCTCTTCTAATGGGGGGGGGCTGGCGCCCCCACCCAACAAACCCCCCCCAACCCCCCCTTTTTATAGGGCTGTGATTCTGTTTTACAATCACGCACATTGTTCCCAGTGCTTGCTGTCTGCCCCCCCGCTAAAAGTTTAGCTTTTAGTGTTTCATAGAAAACCCCCTAGTTTGGCAAAAAGTTTTTTTTTAAGTTCCTAACATCCAAGCAAAATGCACCAAAGATCCATTAGTGCCAACTTCTTGTTTCTAATCGGGGGGCCCACCCCCCCCCCCCCCCCAACCCCCCGCTTCCTTGCAGACGCTGAGAAACCTTAAAACCCTCAGCCTACACCCTACAACCGTAAACCTAACCCTAAGCCTAAACCTAAACCCTAAACCTCAACCCTAAAACGCAAGCCTTTTCTTGAACTAGGCCAACGACATTAAGGCACAATGCAGAAAGCAAACGGCAAAGGACAAAGCATGCAGTGGCTTCTGCATCCCCCTTTGCATTGCGGCCAGCATCACGCACGTCTCTTCATGCCTCCCCTCTCCCCTGATTCAAACAGCTTTGCACACCAGGTTGTTCCTTGATCCGAGCCATGACGATATCAAGGAACGATGCGCGAAGCACGCGTCAGAGCGCAAAGCACGCAGTGCCAGACTTGCACTCCAGCATCACCGCCAATGCAAAGGCACTGACCACATCATTTCCAAATCGCGTTTCCTGACTCACGTTTCCGCGTTTCCTGACTCTCGTTTGCTGTTGTGATCTAAGTATTTATCACTTTCATTCTTGACTTGCCTCCAGTTGTTTCTTGACTTGCCCCTGTCCATTTCTTGACTCATGTTTCCTGACACGGTCGTTTGTTTCCTGACTCGGTCTAGTCTCCGTCACTCACGGCCCGAGTTTGTGCGACGCGCACATCGCCTCTTCCAAAGACCCGGCTGCCTGGGGCAACGCTGCGAGTGCAACGCTTCGCTGAATTGCTGGCGATGAGGGACCCACCAATGCTGGATCGACCATCAGCGCTGCGGCAACCAAAACCGTCCAACCTGCCCATGGCCGAGCTTTGCCATGTGCCGCACGCGAAACGAAGCCTTGAAATCCGCCATCCTGGGAGCTCTGGGCCTCAGTCCCCGGCAGCTTTCACAAAACGTCGGCCGCTCCGAGCCCTCGGCGTCTGCCACCAGCTCAGCGCAGGCATCTCGCAAGCCCTCTGCGTCCAGGCCTCGACCCGTTCGAGCACCGAGCACCGAGCACGTCCGACCGAAGCCATCTTGAAATCTCGGTGTCCCGGCGGCAGCCCAGGCACGACAGCGCTGCAAGCAAGGCCAAGGGAAGCGTGCCCTCGATCGACCTTCACCAAAACATGCCCGGAGTCTCCTTGTCTGAGCCTTGAGGCGCTGACCCAGACAGCCTCTCACACAAAGCCGACTCCCACCTGGCAAAGAGTGACATCTACGTCAGAGTCTCTCCAAGGACCTAAAACCCGGATACATTGATCAACCCCCGACACCCCTATTAAAAAGGCCCTCTAATATGGGAAATGTTGTGAGGCCGCCTAGTTTTCAAAGGGACCATAAAGGGACCATAGAGTATACCTGATTCTGACCATACCTCCAGAAGGAGGAAACCGCGCGCCTCTGGGCATGTAGGGATCGCAGGGCTCGAGGATTCCACACAAAGGCACCGGCACCGGGTACCAGAACCTTCGGCACGTGAACTTGCTTCATGCCTATCAAACCTCCACGTGTCTGTTTGTTTGTTTTTTGCAACGGGTCGATTGCAGCAACACAAGGCTCCGGTGACTGTCATGCACCCGTTGGGACGCATTACCCGAACCCCGCCTTCATGTCTCCTGCTTTGTCGATAGCCTCCAGCCTGCCCACGCGTCCACAGCACCTTCAGCGCTTCGGGGCATCCGAAACATGTCAAGGTGAGCTGAAAGTGTCGGAATCTGTCTCCTTGATTTTGGAAAACAACCCTTGTTTCGGAAACCATGGTTCGAAAACTAGGCGGTGTAAATGAATGCTTATATTGCTCACTATCTAGACTGGTGTTCCTGGCATTCTTGGCGGGTGATCCACTGGGACGGCTTCGTGCGATGCGCTGTACTTCAGCTGCGGACTACGTCTGAAACGATCCCAAAAGTGACAACTTTGAACCGCTGCCAACTGGCGCGGCCTGTCCAGTATCTGAGCATGCACCCAAGATTGTCAGCTCGCTGAGAACAGTCAAGGATGCTGCCAGTGGTGTATATCAATGGACATGTGCTAAAATTGGCCGGGGCCTCCTTGGGGGATATGCTTGAAAGGAACGCAACAGAGAACATACTTATTGGAATGGTTCCCCATGTTAGGACGCACCTAATTCTGGACACGTTGATATCGCCACGAACAGCAATTCACCATTCTGCAAACTAACCCTCCAATGGAAAGAAGCCCTCCGTTTCAACATTCTCACAACCTCGCTGAAACAAACGTTCAGCAACAAATCCTTGCGTGTGCAAAATTTGTGAACAGCTCTCTGAGGTGCTGGCTGGGTCATTCGGTCGTTCCATCCTCCATGATTTACCTGCCAAAGCCAGGCCGTGACATGCTGAAGCAGCCTTCTCAAAGGAGGCCCCTGCTGCTACACACAAACCCAAAGGAAACCAACTGAGTCAAGGTCGAAACCTGGTATTAAAATGGTCTACGCAAAACCATGCAAAGAACTGAATGGTGCCTGCACCCATTTAGGATCGAGACTATCCCCTACTAAACTTCATCCACCCGGGTTTGGAATGTCAACTGGAGTCCCGAATCTTGAGACACGCTTGCAAAGCTCGTGCCTGGAGCTGCTTAGCTTCCTCCACCGACACGTCGATCCGGACCTGCGAGACGCCAAAGGAAGCCCGCCTCTGAGGGTGGGCTCCCAAGTGCGTCTTGCTTTTGGGAAAAAGGGGCAACATGAACTTGGAACACCAAGATGAGCTCAACTTCCAGAGTTACGCTCTTGCCTTTTATTTTGGTGGACCCATGACAGCATCGATGACCGACGGCTAGGCTTTAGCAGAAAGCCAGCCACAATCATTCATACGCGTCTTGGCCTTCCTGGAGTTCAATTTGCAGATGCTTCGCGGTTTGTTGGCCAATATGGACCATGGATTCTTGTGGGAGGCCGATTCCTGAAATTCCATTCGTTCCTCTGCTCCTTTTCGGGAGAATGGAGATACGTTCGACGGGTTGGCGCCTCGTCGCCAATGGTCAGCGCCGCACCCGGTCCACACTCATCTGGACAGAGATGTTAGAGACATCACATCAGCCAAAGCAGCAAGGAGAGCCATTGCAACCACTTTTAGGGGCCACCAACGGCTATAAACCTGCTTTGGCTCTGAATCAGTATACGCAAGGCAGAGCCTTCTTCAAAGGGAAGGAGGCCGGCATCTGTAATCACCTGGCGTGGAATGGCGTTGTGTGAAGGTCGCCTTTTGGGGTTGAACGGGGAACCAACTGCACCGGGTCCTATTTTTCACACCTACTCATGTTTGATTGAACCACGAAGCCAAATGATTGGCCAGCTTCTCAATCTATTCCTTCCGCTTTGGCCGAGTGGTCGATTCTTTGAGTTTGCGGGACTCCTTTGAAGCACCACTGACCCTGCATTCTGTCTCAACATCAATCACAGATCTAACTGAGGTATTGACAGTTGCTTCAGGTGTGCGTCTTGGAATATGGCATTGGTCTCAGCACAGTGGCTTTGGACATCTTGGCCTGTCTACTCAGACAAGCAAGATCAGGTATATTACCCTCTCGCAATGCTTGTCTAGTGCTCACACGTAGCACAGTATGCTTCATATTAGAACTGGTGTGCAGGTGTGGTCAGCGTTCCGTCCACCAGCACCCCATATCCTAAGCTTCCGTTTGCCTCGGCCACCGCTTTTGCATTCCAGCACCAGCACCCCAGGGCCTGAGCTTCACGCGCGTACCGAGCCGGAGAAAGCACACCACTCAGCTTGGAGCCCCATGGGAGATCCGAAGAACCTGGCGCTGACGTCAAAACCCCTTTAAAGAAACTCTGAAGTGATGTCTGAGGCAAGAGGAAATGTCAAAAACAAAACAAAAACGACCCAGGCTCCTTCCCCAAACTGCGAACGAGCCCCACCCGAGGGTCCGCGCTCCCGAGCTCCAACACGCGCCTCTGGCATCTTCGGGGAGCGTCTGGGGATCTCTACCTCGAGCGCTTCGAACTCAAGCGGAGCTGTCCGATGGGGGCCCGGCGACTCGACCAGGGAAATCCAGGCAGAAAGCCATCCTGACCCGCGGACCCGCGGACCCGCGGACCCGACCCGGGTCCGAAGAAACTTCAGAGGTTCAGAGGTCCTGTCGCACCAACCTCCGAAGTGCTCGGGTGGCTCCTGGCCGCGACCAGGCACTTTCTGGTGCCTTTCACGGAATGGTGGCAACAATCCTTCTCCCGTTCTCAGTACACTGTTACACCTATTAGGTCGGAAAACTAAGCATTGTACATTGTAAATGCTGTGAACTATTGTGAACTGTAAAGCTTGCGAAGCTCCTGTTCCTTTTTGGCACGCTCCAACTCGTTGTGAAGCCTGCGCAAGCTGATCCTGCCCGGCTCCAAGCAGACGCGAGCGAGCCTAACGACGTCGCCCACTGCAATGTGCCCATCGCGCAGCGTCACCCTCCCGCGAGAGCTGTTGTCCTAAGTCGGCTCGCCTTCTCGCCTTCCCAGTTTGCCTTCTCTGAAGATGTTCTGTGAGTTCCTTGTTCCTAACCCATCCCGATAAAGAGGGGGGCATGGTAAGACACCGAGGGCCCGGGCGCCCGGTGCGCTGCTTCCTCCACCGGCCTCAATTCAAAGCTGCGGAAAAAGTCGAGGTGGCCCTAGTTGCTCCGTTTTCTCAAGGAAACCAACATGAAACTCGCATCTTGAATCCCACCTCAGGTGGCCAGACCTGATTTGTCCATTTCCGGTTAGGGATCAAGCTTAAAACGGGGTTGACCTTTTGACCCCATCTGGCTGCGTGGCCCCATTTCGCGCAGTCGCCGGCAGCTTCCGGAGGCCTTGGTCAACAGCTGAAACGACATGCGGTTGTTTCGTTTCAGAGGTGTTGTCCTTTTGGGGCTGTTTTACAGAGGGCAAGCCATGCAAGCCATTGCAAGCCAATGCAAGCCAATGCAAGCCATAGTAGGGGTCCCCTGTATTGACAATCACATCTATCGTGTCACACGGTGCAATCGTTGGCCTTGAGGAAGGAGCTGGATAGCAGGCCGGAGGCAATGGGTGCAGCTGCTGCGGTTGCCGGTGGCCTCAAGGAGCCTGCCACGCGAAGGCAAACCCCGCGCGGCAATCCCCGTCTCTGCCGCACAAGTCTCTGCCGGTGTCTGCCTTGTAGGGACTTAGACCCACCGGCGGCCGCCATCAGCAGGCTGCTCAAGCCTAGAGACAAACTGAGCCAAGCCCAATGCCCCCCAAGGTCGTGTTGATGGAAAGGCTCCGGCTGGGAAGAAGGGTCGTCGAGCCTGGGACACGCGGCACAACAGCCTTGCTCGAACCCGGCACTGAGCTGGCAACTGCGCTTGCTGGAACTGCTGCCGCTGGCCGTCATGCAAGCCTCAGAGCGTCTGAGCTTCTTTGGATACCAACAAAAAGCAACCCCCACATCACCAATCACCCCACAAAGTGGCAGGGGAAAGATCGCGAACGTAGCCCATCGCCTGCAACGCCACCTCAGCCAGCATTCGGCCATCCGCAGCCAGCACGGTGATGGCAGAGGCCGCCCAGGACAGCAAAGCCGCACTACCTGCGGCTAGCTCGCTCCTGTTTGAGTTGCTCTGCGTCAGTTTGTTCATGGGTATGTCGAAATAAGTATTTGGATCCTACAAATTGGGTTTCGGTTTTCCGCTTCGATTTACAAACGGTAACGCGACCCCAGCCCCCATCCCCCTGTTCGCCTGAAGCCCACGTCGAGGGGCAGCGTTTTGTTCACAAACAAGTGAAACGCACACGCGTCTCTTTGGGTAGTCCGTAGACCTTTTTCTTCTGGGCACTAAGAGCAAACACGGTCCGCCCATATCCTCCCCAAAATGGAGACCAGCGCAGAGTGGCTTTCAAACTGCAGACTGTGTGACGGCCTCTTTGATCGGCTTGCAAGGCCCCCATGATCTCCTGCATCCGTGCATCCGTGCATCCGTGCATCCGTGTGCCGAAAAGGCCAAGCCGGAAGTGATCCGCGAGAATTGGTCACTCCTGGATGGCGGCGTGCCCGGCGTCCGCGCCCGCGTGGTCACACAGCAGGCGCATGGCGCCCAGGGCGCACAGCCCGGCTTCCCGGAGCGCCTGTGATCCACAGCTGGAAACAACCCATGGACCCATGAGACACAACGCATGCCTCTTGTCTTTTGGGGGGGGCTGCTTTCTTGTAGGCGCCCCCGTTGGTAGAAGGGACATCGAAGGAAACAACCCATGAAGTCATCTGTTTGAGAAGGGGCCCCTTGATTGAGGGTAACCCCTACGTGAAGTGCTAGGTCGGGGGCGCGAAAAGCTGAAGAAACAGCTCTGTCCCATTTCTTGTTTCGGCGCGACAAAGCGGGAAATCCTCCCAAGAGCCTGATCGTTTCTGTCCCGTGAGCCCCCGACGCCAGGAGCCACCGGCACGGGGGCGGACATCCGAGTCGCGTTGTCTTTATCTTTGGATCCGTCCTGACGGAAGCGGCGAGGGTACGGCTCCCATCTTCTGGCTTTTGGTTCAAAAGGACACCAACCATTGGGGTCCCTTGCTAGGCAATCCAGTCACCCATCGCGCCTCCCGAGGGATGAGACTCAAGAAGCTGCGGATAACGAAAAGCCAAATTGGTACCTCAGGACGGGATGGCATCCTGTGTCTGCTGAGAATCATTCTGGGTTCATGTCAGTCCAAGGCCCGCACTTCTCTTCCCGAGCCACCTCCAGGTCTACACGTAACATGCAGCATGCGCTAGTTGAGCCCTGAAACCGGCGGCCTTCACTCACATACATGGCCGTGCCCTTGCCATGCTCCTCAGAGGGTGCAATCTCAAGCTTCCAAGAACGCACCCCCTCTTGGCAAGTCTCGGAAAAGTAAAAGCACCATTCCATGAATCTCGGCCATATCTCCATGCTCGGGGGAACCTCGCTACCCTCCAAAGGGCCAATCACAATCACGTACAGCTTCACAGCCAAGGTTCAGCGCTGGCTATGCTGCTGTCTAGGAGGGTGAAAATCTTGTCGAGGGTCTGGCGCGGATTTCGAGATACTGCATCCTAAGTGGCCCCCAAACCGCCAGGGCTGTGGCTGGATGACTTGCATTGCAGTTGTTGCTGCCTGCCCGCGCACTGCGACATGAGCTTACAGGCGCAAGCTCTCACGATGCCTGCACACACGCTGTTGCCGTAGTCGATGTCCGCCCACACGCTGGAGTGGGAATCCACCGGCGGCCTTGGCTTTGAAGCTCTCAGCCAACCCTCTCCCAGGTCACCGAGGTGGAGACGGCGGTGGCCGAAAGGCTAAAGCAGCGAGCGCCCTGCGCAAGACACTAGCTCCGTTTGCCAGTTATCACCCAAACGGGAGGAACAGAATTAGGACAACTCCGAATTCGGGAAGAGTAGGCTCCTTCAAAGAGTCCTTCCAAAGAAGCCACTCACCCCCATTTCTCACTTTCAGGCTGATTCAGGCCACAACCCAAGCTCTGACTGGTAGCTGTGTCTCGAAAGCCACAAGGTCCGCGTTCTTCGATGACACGCCTGCAGCCCCAGGCGAAGAGCTTAGTGCTGCCGCTGTTCCGTTGCATTGCGAGGACCTCGGAGCTCGACCAGGGAAAGCTGTTGCACTTGGAAACAGACCAAACGAAGGCACGCAGACAGAGGCACAGAAACACATGGAGAGACTCCGACACAGTCAGAGACGCAAATACACCGAGACACAGAAACACACATAGACGGCAAGACAAAGAGACACAAACACGCAAACAGAAAGGACTTTGGAACTGCCCTAACGAACCATGCCCTACAATCCATCTATGTTTGGAAGGGATCATTGCCGTACTCCCGGCTCATTTCAGGACATGACAAAGGGCACATCTCTAAGGCGCTTGCGACCTGCTGCACACCACGAGCAAGAACCAACTCGAACTCTTCCCGCGCAGGCCTTATGCACGAGCTCCATCACTAGATGGTTTGAGTTTGGGCTCGCGTTCTAAACCCACTGCGGCCGCATGCTCGTTTCCCATTGGTTCTGCTTCAATCCAGCACAGAAAGGTTATCCTCAGAAGTGCCCTCATTCGCTGACAGGGCAAACCTTCTTCTGCTTTCTGATCTGTCGGAGCAGAAGATCGCGGGTTGACAATTCGCTTGCCTCTAAACAAAATGAAGGTCTGTTGTCTTGCCACATCTTGCCTCTCAAAAAAGCGAGGAGCTGTCGTGTGTAGCTTATGACGGCATGTTCGCCCTTGAGAAAAGAGTCATGTCTTTTTTGCGTAAACGCAACATGCATTTCAGAAAAGCAAGGATATGTTGTACAGCCTATCACCACATGCATAGCGTATGATCACAAGTTCACCCTTGTGGAAAGTTGGAAGTTCGGTTGTGTTGAACTTTGCCTTGACAAGCAATATAACGTCTATAGCTTCTGACCAATTTTCTTTGAGATGGTGTGTCAGGTTTCCAGGTCTCACTCAGTGCCACCATGTCAGGTGTCGAGGTTTCACTCAGTGCCACCATTCACGCAAGGCTCCCGCGATGGAGCCAACGGGCACACCTCTTTCGCTCCATTTTCCGCTTAGATCTGGGCGATGCACGAAGGGCCGTGTGCCCCTTGGAAGAAGCTTCGCCCGCTGAATTCAGCTGATGAGAAGAAAAGCAAGAAGAGGAAGAAGAAGAAGAAGAAGAGATGAGAGAGAGGAAACAACACAAACGAAAAGAAGAACAAATAAGAAAAGCAACAGAGCCGCAAAGCCGCCGACGTCATCGCAGGTCGATGCCGACAGATTTTAGTGCGCGATCCATGGCCGAAGGAGGTCGAAGGTTGCCAGATCCGCGGGTTTTCTGCTGCTTGGCATAGGCCCACAGCAGGAGGTTCAGCCTCAGCTAAGGAAATTGTTGAACTTTAATGGGCCCCGCACCCTTTGGTGGATTTGATTTACCTGTCTACCATTTCAGGGACAAATGAGTCACAAAGTGGAGCTTTGTGATTTGCCAGGGCACATGGCTGCCATAATAAAGCCAAGCTGGCAGAGCAACTTCATTTGCAAGCCAGCGCCCACAAACTGCCGCATGTCCGGGTTGGAATTGACTTCCCTCATGACCTGCAAGGGAGCTTGGTGCAAACTTTGCTTCGATTCATTCGGGTATGTCTCAAAGTTGGATTCCTTTGGAATTCTTGTAAACACCAAAATGGGTGCCCTCAAAAAAGACACTCCCGTTTCGATTCCCTCCCTTCCTGTCCTTCTCAAACTGCCGAGCTTGCGTTCGCCAACGGTCGTGGGATCCAAAGCGGTCTGGCTCACGCATCTCCTGTCGACATGGCAGCGTCAAACTGCAGATCGTAGCCATAGGCCGATTCAGGCAGCAAATGGGTGCGCCTTCTCTTGAGGGGAACTTGTTTCTTGGTTGTTTTAAAGGGAAGCCAAAAGGGAAACCAACCATTTTGCGGGCGGCCCGATGTGGAGACATATCCATTCAGCGGCTCAAAATTATGGGCATGGGCTCCTGACGCATCCGAGCTTTCTGGGCAGACCGCAAATCCTCGTACCAGTGGTTCGTGCTCGTGCTCGCGTTTCTCGTCGGCTTCGGTGCTGGTGTGCGGAACGCAGGACCAGAAGGGACACCTGGGAATGTTGGAGAGAACCTTCAAGAGCTGGCGTATGAAAGATCTTACTTTTCAGACGCAACCAGAACTGAGATGGGAAAGGTCGATTCACATCATTTGAGGGAGCTATGTTCACTACTTTTGAGGCTCCCAGTTTAAGCTCCTAGCCAGCTGGATATGCCAACGGATCCAACCCACACATGGGCCCCCTATCCGCCTGTGGCATCGTAGGCCATGCGCCGCTGGGGGTCTCTCAGCGTCTCCCAGGCCAGCTGAACCCTCTGGAAGCGTGTCGTGCAGGTCCCAGAGCCCGAGGTCTGCGCCAAAAATGTCGCTTCCCAAATGGGTGTGGGTCAAACTCAAACCACTGGGGGACCGCAGGCGTTAGTCCATGCTTCCACTTACCACGGTTCCATTTTGGGCACCTATTTTTGACCCACAGCCAATTGTTTCCCAGAACGAAAAGGCAAGAAACCATTGTGAAGACACCGGCCGAGTGGGTGGAAAGCCGGAATGCCGTTCAAAAACAACCCCCCCGAACCGCAGACAAAAAGACAAGCAAAGTGGAAGCGGACGTTGGTTTTGCGCCAAGGAGCATCGGGATGATGCTGCTTGGCCAATCGCAGGTAAGCCTCCCGCAGCTCTCCCTGCGATGCGCCAGGGCGCACCCCCAGCGCAGAGTAGAGGCAGCAGCGCCCAAGTCGGCTGCGCAGCATGCACGAGGCAGGAAGGCTTCAAATTGGAATGCTTCAAATGCCTTGAGCCTGAGCGTGAAGAGACCGGGTGCACCGAGTTTTCTCAGGGTGGGATCCGAGCATATGACGAGTTTCCTGACAGACGAGTCTTGGCTGCAGACTGTATGGCTCGTTCTCGAAGCCGTCGACAGGCCGTCGCAGGCCAGCCTTCCACCGCATCCTCGTTTTGGAGCCGTTCCGGTCTTGTTCCGTGTCTCGTCCCAGGGAAAATCCGGCGAAAATTTTCAGGTGCCCTCCCATCCCCCTCTGTTTCTCGGGGTCTGCTCGGCCGGCCGTCAGCCAGGCAAAAGCCACTCCTCCGGGCGGATGCCGACAGCACACTCCACCAGCTGCTGGCAGCATGCCACCAGCGTCGCGGGGTCGCGGGCTTCCAGCCTCGGGCCAAATCTCACCCCATGGGGAAAAAGAAAAGGACTCGACGTGGGTACCTCAAAATGATTTTCTATCAGTGTCCGAGTCCACCGTCTCAAGAGGGAATCTTAAGAAAAGGACTCTACGGTTCAAAGCCCGGCAGGTCCCAAAGGCCAAGGTGCACGCGACTTGATCCCGCACCCAAAAAACCCTCTCAGCCCCCCGCTCCATCCGACGCACGACACGTTTCGCAGCTGCCAAGGTACTCTGCTGCAGCATCATGTCCTTTGCGACACTTGCACGCTTTTCAGCATGAAGGATATGGTCTGGCTCCGCAAAAGCCCAAAAGCCCAATGCAACGCAATTTCAGTCTTGCCATACGCGCATGTGCAGACAGCGGCTGAAGCAAAGCAGGTAGACACCACTCGAGGCGTCGAACTGGGGAGCCCACTGCCAGACCGCCCTCTGCACAGAAATCCTCGAGAATCTTTCGCTGCTCGGGATTGCAGTTGCGACAGTCCTTTAAAGAGATGCGCCCAGATTTGTCCCTGTCCTCAGAAAGCATCCAACATATTCAACTCGGTTTCTCACCTTGCGCTTGGCTGCCGGCCCAGAGTAACCAGCATCGCTCTATCCACTCGCGGCCTCGCAACCGACCGAACCAGCCCCGCGCGCCGCGCTGCAGCGGGTTGCCCGCTGAGGCTCCGGGCTGGCAGCCACAGCTGAGGCTTCCAAGGAGGAGGTTCCGCAGGACTTCAAAACCTCACAGCTTTTATCGTAGACCACAGAAAAGAATGGGACCCAACCTGCAAGTCTTAGTGAGGACGGGACGGCACGCAATACATCTGCCTGCCAATGTCGCTTCAAGGCTCTCTCTCCCACCTCTTTTGTCATGTTGCAGCACAAATCTCTTGCGATGCCTTTCCCATCTCCTTGTTCCCTGGACTCGCCCAATGTCGAAACCTGCAAGCGACGCTCAAAGCGTGCAAGGGGTCAAAACATTCCAAGACTGGATACATCAAAGTGGGTCCAAGTGACATTCTCAAAATCCCCCGCGACATGGACATAGGGATTTTAGGCGACCCAAAAGCAACCCTGACCTCTCAAAGTGCAACCCAACTGATGTCATGCGCAAAACATCTCAAGCCCGCGGCCATCCCTCACCTCATTGAGCCAGACGGGGTGATGGTTGGCTTCAGTGGGTGCGCGGGGGCGGTTCTCCTTTGGCTTCCCCCTTACCCCAAAGCCTCAAAACATGACCGCGCCCGTTTCGGCATGGCTTCCCTAACGATGGTTCCAAGGCCTTCCCGCGTCCCAATGGCCCAAGATTCAGATGTTCCTTTAAAGGGCCCCAATTCTTTCCGACATGGGACTCCTAAATTCAATCCATGGCGAAAAGGGCAACGAGTCGATTCGAGCTTCCCACGATCTTGCTCCAACGGCGGCGGCGGCCTACACGGACCGAAAAGAAAAAGTCAAGGCCAACGGGTGCGATGTGCATCTATCCGGTGCACCCCTCGAAATCGGAACCCGTGGGCAGGTAAGCGTCGTGAAATACCGCAAGGAAAAGCGCGGTACACTGAGCTGCATTAGACAGCTGATGCAACGCTCGAACGTAACCAATCATTTCGCCCGATCTTGCAATCTTGAGACACCCCCAAACGTGCCATGGTCATAGGAACATCTACATTGGTTTTCCAAAACCCTATGAGAAGGTTGATAACCACCCCTGCCTCAAGTCAAAGAAACCGGTCAGTTACGTTGACCATGGCACAGCTTCGCTCTGAGAGACGCACCCTTTCTCCCGTTCAATTTGGAGCTCCTCCAAGTGCTCTGCTAGCCACCGCCTAAGCATCTTGCGTCGGCATAACCTTCCCGGGTTCCAAAGTTTGGCCTGTCTAAAAGGAGGAGGAAACCTTACTTTCATTCCCGCTGCGCGGGGTTCCGACCAAATATCTCCGGCAAAACATGGAAACTCCAAGCCGGAAATGTTTTGAAACCCGAGGCTCTCACGGGAATGAGCCCCATGAGCCCAGCCAATTGGGAATCTGAGACCGGCACAGGAGGCCTCGTTCCGCGCAGAAGCCCTTCCTTGAAACTCGACCCTCTCCAGATGGGTCCTGGGAAGCCGCGAGTCCGTTCTAGCGGTCTCAAGGGGAAACCAAAATAGCAAAAAGGCAAAAAGGCAAAACAAAAAGGCCACAATTTGGAGGTCCATCTGTTTGACGCGAAGGTCCATCTGGTTCTGGCGCACGTCAGTTTGCTGATCCCTTTTGGCACCCAGCTGGACATTCATTGCCTCTTGGGGACGTCTTGGGATGCCCCTCCCCCTGGCGCGGGTCCCATTCGCTCCACAGCGACCCGCGTAGAGAAGCCTGCGGCTCCCGGATCCATGCGGAAATCACCAAAATCAAAACCTGGTACTCAAATGGTCGACGAGTTTATTGGTGGAAAAAAATAGGGCCGGAGCATCAACACCTATTTATGAGAGGGACTCTTACGAACCTTCACTTGCTTGCGTCTCTTGCCTCCAGCTTGGATGCATCCACTGGAACCACTGCTGGAAGCACCTGGCGTGCGGTTGACTGATATCCCAAGAGACCAAATTCGTCTGCCACACTGTTTGATGACTAGTGTTGTAGTGTTCAAAGCTGAGGCTCGGTTGATGTCCAACATTCAATGCTGTCCAATTGATGTCTTTGACCACCAAATATCTGAGTTGTTTACTTAAATCCACCCCTACGTGTTGTCAGGCCAAAATCAAAAACAAACATCCCCCTTTACTTTTCATTGACCCAATACTAAACCAACAGACAGGCCTTTTTACGGGGTACTTTTAGCACTTCCTGTGTTCACCTGCTACCCACTAAAATCATAAAACCACTTGGCCCAAATAAGATTCAACCATCTAAAAAAAAACGCAAGAGGGTACAAAACCAAATAGAAATCAGGGGGCTACTGTATCCGGACTTTCCCATCCGCAACCTGCCTGGCAACGGCTGTTTCTGTTCCTCTATGAAATATATAGAAGTGGCATTTCTACTCCAGCTGGGACCCTACTCTGAAAATGTTGGCTCCTGACAGAGGCAAGTGATTTTTTCATAGGGGCAAGCGATTCTGTAGTGTCAAAGTACCGGGGAACGCCGCCGAGATGAATGAATTCCCAACTAAAGGGGAATCAGCCCTGATTCTAGTATAGTCCTCCAGAATAATCCCAAGGAGGCATGTAGGGTGTGCTTTTGCTTCGACACATACTCCTTGAAAAAAGTCCGCCCAAACGCGCGCTCGCGCGCGCGCCTTCTCCAAGAGGTGACGGTCCAGATACCCAACGCCATCCTCATCGAAGAAGGCGAACCAGGCAGCAGGGTCCTGGCAGCATCTCGTGGCTAGCACCCATTACCCTCCGAGAGCATGTTGGAATCGGACCCCTCTGCAGGCCCTCGTCTCCCTTTGAAAAGCCAACCAAAAAATGGTTCCCCAATTTCCCATTTTGACAGGTCAGAATGATTTCTGAAGGGAGCAAGACACGTATTGAAAAGAAGCGGACAGTGGCACCGCGCTCCTTTCAAAATCCAGTTGTTTCATGTGAGCTTTGGGCGATTTTCTGGGAGAGAATTGGGAAGCTGCCTATGGTTTGGACTGATGACTCGAAGTTCATGCGAGCGTCCTCCCGTGGGTCTGGTGGGCGAGCCGGCGGTGGCTGAAAGGGCTGTCGACAAACTGGGCACCTTGGGCCTCGCGAAAAACATCGCCATTGGGCAAGTAGTAATAAAACTAACTGCAAGAAACACCTGGCAGCTGATTTAGAGAAGCATCAAAAACACAAACTGGCCGCTGACTTTGGCCGGCTTGCTTCGACCTTTGACATGGGTGCGGATTTACTTTGGGATTGTTCTTTTTTTCCCCGTTGTTTTTTTGTTTTTGTTTTTTTTTGTCCGGGCCAGTAAAATGTTGTATTTTATTTACAGCATTTTCTCGCGAAATTGACACATTCTACACTAGCCCGTCAACATCCCCAGCATCGTTTTCAACATCCCCCGCATGTCCAACCAACATCCCTAGCATCGCCAACAAATCGTGGGTAACAAAATCCAAAAAGTAGCTGGCGGGTTGACGGGATAAAAAAAATAATGCTTCAAACAGGAGGGCATTTCAATCCCAGTAAAAAAACAAACAAAACAAAACTAGAACAAAAAGAGCGGGGGGTTGGGGGGGGGGCAGCCGCCCCCATGATGGTCGCAGAAGTGATGATTCTCTGCAAGGAGTCTAAAAACTAGAGGGGTGCGATAGAACTTAAAAGGCAGCGGGAGGGTTGGCGGGGGTGGCTTCCCCTATGATGTTCGAAGAAATGCATACATGCAGACATACATGGATTCCACAGATTACCTACAATGTCGTATTTTGCAGCATTTTCTCGCGAAGTTGGACGCTCCAAAAAGTGATGATTCAAACAGGGGTGCAATTCAATCTCTGCCGAGCCAGTAAAATACGACATCATTTTCTCGCGAGATTGACTACACTAGCCCGTCAACATCCCCAGCATCGTTTTCAACATCCCCCGCATGTCCGACCAACATCCCTAGCATCACCAACAAATCGTGTGACGGGGGGTCAAAGCAATGATGATTCAAATAGGAGGGCATTTCAATCCCTGTAAAAAAAAGCAAAAAAAAACTGAAAAGTAATTCAACTAGGGGTGCAATTAATTAAATCTCTGTAGAAAATCTAAAACGTAGCGGGGGGGTTGGGGGGGGCGGCAGCCCCCCCCCATGATGTCGGAAGAAGTGATGATTCAATTAGCGGTGGAATGATTCAAGAAAGGGTGCGATTGACTTCCCCTATGATGTTCGAAGAAATGCATACATACAGACATACATGGATTCCACAGATTACCTAAAATGTCGTATTTTGCAGCATTTTCTCACGAAATTGGACGCTCGAAAAAGTGATGATTCAAACAGGGGTGCAATTCAATCTCTGCAAGAAATCTAAAAAGTAACGGGGGGGAGGCGGCAACCCCCCCCCCCCCATGATGTTTGAAGAAGAGTTAATTCAAATAGGGGTGCAATTACTCTGCAAACAATCTAAACAGTAGCGGGTGGGTTGGGTGGGTTCCCCCCCCATGTGTTCGAAGAAGTGATGATTCAAACAGGGTGGTGGTGATGCCGATGATGCGGGGCCCCCCTGCGGGGCCCCCAAAGCCCCCAAAGCCGCCAAAAGCCGCATAAACCAGCGAAAAGCCGCAAAAGCCAAAACGCCACCTGCCGAAGAGGAACTGGGAATGCAGAGGATGCGAAAAGCCGAAAAGCCAAAAAAGCAAAAGCCGCATAAACCAGCAAAAAGCCGAAAAGCCCAGAAAGCCAAGAAGCCGAGAAGCCAAGAAGCCTAAAAGCCAAGAAGCCAAGAAGAAGCCAAGAAGCCCAGAAGCCGAGAAGCCAAGAAGCCGAGAAGCCAAGAAGCCAAGAAGCCAAAAGCGAAAAAATATCTCAAAAAAAAAGAAGGAAACAAATCCTAAAATAAATACCCCTCCGGTTGACATCCACTCCGGACGACCGAACGGCGATGGCAGAGCGCTGGTGCGTTTCTGCGGCCGCGGCTGGTGGACTGCAAGGACAGCTCCGTGGCACAGGCTGTGCAGAGGAAGTGCCCGCAAGCGCGACCTCGTGTCAAACGGAGAGACCTGCCTTGAAATGGCGGCCTTCGTTGGAATATTCATCAATGAAAGTTCTTTACGACCCATTTGGCTGAAGACCTGACTCGGGATTCACGAGATCCGGCCGTCCGGCTTCAAGGACCAACACACCACATGTTAAATAACCGTTGTACGGAACCATCATGAGCTCGTTAACCCTGGTGCAACTCTCAACCTGAACAGTCCGGCAGTCTGGGGCTGTTGCGACCATTTGCGTCAAATAAGACAGCAGGCCCTCCCTCACCTGAAATGCCAGGAACAAGGCGATGAAACATGGTTGGAACACTCGAAATGATGCTGGACCCCTTTGGGGTTGTTGATTTTGGGGATGGGAACCCAAGGGAAACTAAAGAAATGCTATTTATGTGTTAGGGAGGCAGAACTCAGACGGTTGAGAACTCAAACGGTTGAGGCAGCGGCAAAGTGCCCTGAAGCACACTGGGCATTCAGCTAGTCCCTCCGCCTGAGCCGAATGCGACATCAAGGCGCACGCGCTCTGACTGACCGCAACGCCTCCACAGGTCACAAGCCAAGCAAAGGTACCCCCACGGTGGAATCAAACCCTCTAGGGAAAAAAAGGTAGACGTTTTTCGCTTGTCAAGCTGGAGGGTGGGAGCCGTTTCGGTATGCAGTCCGAAAGGGCTGGCCTCCGGAGCCGCTGGTCTGGCCCAAGCATCGCGGTCTTCTGCCCATTGCCCTGGCGCTCGCAGGGTTTTTGGGCGGGGAAAGAGGCTCGGATGGATTTGCCAGGTTGTGCCGATCTTTTGGGAAAAGAGCGGAATGAATTGATTCATTTGGCAGATTGTCTAAGATCAAGAAAAGGGCCAGACGGTTGGTGAGTGGAGGCTGGAGGCTTTTTTGACAACAGGAGAGGAACATCGCCATGCCGGCTCGGCCCACCAAGCGCTTTGCAAGCTCCCGGTGTCCGCCTTCAAGGCACAAGCGGGGCGGAGTTGAGTACCGAGCGGCTCTTGAAGGCACCCTTCATGGCTAGTTCAAAGGGAAACTTCGAGGAAACCTGCTGTTGGGTGCAGGGTCTCCCCATTTCGAGACAAGTTGCTTGGAAAACGAACGAAGGACGTTGAGTCTCGGGAGTTGAGGGCCCCACCCTCCACGGCTGCGCGCAAGGCCCGGGCCTGCGATACGACACGCTTACCGCCTCTCACGGCCTCTCCAACCCCCAAAGATCAAGGCACGGCCCACGGCCTGTGCCGCCAAATCGCTGTCGAGGGAGGCTCCACGGTCCTCGTGCTCAGGGCCGAGCTGAGAGCTGAGAGCTGAGCTCTCAGCTCGCCGCGAAGAGCATCAGCGCCACTTCGTCCCAGCCAAGGTCCAGCGCCTGGCCGACTGGCGATCTTCGAAGAAAGCTTCAGAAAGCGCGGCAAAGACTCTCTCAGCTGCATCCCGCCTTCTCAACAATGGATCGGCCGTCTGGAAGCTTGCCAGTGACCTTCGACTTCGGCCCATCTCGACTCCACACGCGCTTGGAAAAGCCGGGCCCGCTGCTGGCAGCTCGCCCGCTTCTCTCAGCAACATCCGGCATAGCTGTTCCTCGGGGCAAAACAAGCTGAAGGTGAATGCAAAGGCTCTCGTGCAAGCTTGCACTGGCAGTGAGCTGCGTGCTCTGATTCGCGACTGAGGGCGCAGCCCCCCAGAACTTGCCCTGGTGAATTGCCGAGCAAAGCACCGCTCCCAGCAAAGGGACGTAGAGGCCTCACGGTGTCACACGCTCGCCTCCTCGCCCCAGAGAATCGTGAACGGGCCATGTCCCATGCCCAGTCCAATGTCGACCCTCAACAACACCCCGGCTTCGTTGAGGTTTGCCAGCGACTTGCCTTTCTCACTATGAAAGTGATTTGTCTGGTCTTTCTGAACATCATGACAGCCGGAGAAGGAGCCCGGAGAAGGAGTTGACCCACATCCAAAGTGAACAGACCAAACAACTCAAACATGTTTTGACGAAACTCCTCTTCTCTTCTTGAACCTAGAGCCCGAAAAAAAGTACACAATTGCTGGCAGATTCCCAAGAGGACACGTGGGTCCACTAAATCTTCCGGAAAAACCAAAGGACCACCCAATGGTTGCTAGCCTCAGTTGACCTGGGGGTAGTAACCCTCCAAAGTGATGCACGGGGCCCATGTTTTGCGACGCCTCTTGGGGAATCGAGTCATTTTCGGCTGCTCCGACTCTATCTGCACCTTGGCTCCGCTGGAGCCGAGTGTAGAGCTCCGCGAAGCATCCGCAGCCTCCGGTCTTGGTCAGCTTGCGCAAGCCTTTCCACAAACCGTGTCAAACAAGAAACCGCAAGCAAACCTTCAAACACCAACGCATCCCAAGATTGATTGTTTCTGAGATGTGGTTTCCAAGAAGCAGTTTCTCAAACAACTACTCAAGAAAACAATTGATGAAACAGAAGCAGGGTTCTGGCTTTTACTCAGGGAGCCCGATTCTTCGTCGGATCTCTTTTTGCAGTGCTTTAGGAAGTCTGCCCGTTGGCAGGAGCTCAAGCAAAAAGTGGCGCCCATTTCCGGGAAACATAGAACTCTGCCGCCGCCAAAAGTGTCCAAACAACTCTTCAAATAGGGTCCCAAGAGTTGTCTTCCTTTTTGATCTCCCACCCAGACCAAACCCTGCGCACAACAGCTGGGCCCCCTGCGCACGGGGCCAGGTTTGGACGCCTCCCGCAGCAGCGGCCTAGAATTTCCGGAGCGATGGCCTCTGAAAGGATTTTTACGAAAGCTTCAAGAAAGTTTCCAGGGGATTACTCCTACCAGTCGGGGTTTAGACTTGTCTCCTGGAGATGTTGGTGTGGGCGAGGCAAAGCTGTGAGAAATCGCTCTTTCTGTGCACAGAGCAAACGCTTTCTAACCGGGGTTCCACTTCTTATGGAAAGACACAAATGCCCCATGTGCCCTTTTCAGGCAATCAACACCCCCTTGGAAAAAGAAGCACCGTTGCTCAAGAAATGGAACCCCTGTGTGCCACAAGCGACTGGTGATTTGAAGGGCTCCCGCCCGGATCGCTGAATGATGAAGTAACCCCAGTCATAAGGTCGAACAAGGAGGGCTTTATTGGGGTCCCACAGCTGCTTCTGAGAAGTGAGGGGGACCCACAAAAATCATAATGTTGTGATCTTCCTCATGGTTTCCCTTCAAGCCAAGCAGAATAAGGGCAACCTCAGAGGAACACCCCGTCTAGCACTTTAAGTTGGACCCAGACTGGCCCCATTTTTGCATCATTGTCAAAATCACCTCCTTGGTAGCTTACAGGGAAACAACCAACCAGTTTCCGTTATGGACAAAGTCTCAGTTGATAGCTGGTCTATCTCATAGATGGCATCCCAACTGTGAATTGGAAATTGGGTGTTCTCTTCTTGGGCGAACCCTCTCTTGGTTTCAAAGGATTTTGAGGCATCCCCGAAATAACAGACCGAAATTTGTTCCATCCACACCAACCCCCAGGCAATTTCGACTCGCGTGAGGCTCTGGCAGCCACCTCTGCGCGGCCCCTGCGCCGGTGGGCGATGCTGGGCCCTCGATGCCCGAGCTGCACAGCCGGTCCACCTCGAAAGCCGAAGGAAACCGAAGGAAACCGAAGGACTCGGAAAGCCTTCCGAAAGTCCAAGGAAGCCAACGAAAACCAAAAGGATGCCTACGAAAACCACCAGATTCTATATATATATATATATATATATGCTACCCCCCCCCCCCAGGACCCCAGGTTTGGGCTTGGTTCAGATGTGCTTTGACCGCTCAGATTTGCACACTGGGAGACCAAAGGAAGGAGGATTCCCTCATTGAAGAACGACGCCTTGGACGTGACCCATGCCCTTTTTTCAATGGCTCTTCCACACAAAATTCAATTTACATATCTTCCCACACAAACCAGCCTTCTTTCAAAGGCTCTTCCACAAATAATTCACATATCTTCCCACACAAACCATGCCTTGTTTCAAAGACTCTTCCACAGAAAATTCACACATCCTCTCACCCAACACGTGTCTTTTTACATGTCTTCTTTCAATGAAACAAAGGCAGCATATGTGAAAGAGTTGCCAAGGAAAGTGAACCCTGTGTAGAATAAAACCAGGCTATGGCTGGGACAGTTTGTGTTACATAAATGGTGGTTTTACATGATATTCATTGTCTTTTGCTGTACTTTTATGAACCACTGTAACCCTGACTCTTCCACAAAGACTCACATATCATCTCACACAAAACATGTCTTTTTCAATAACTCTTCTCTACAGAAAATTCACATATCCTCTCACAAAGAACATGCCTTCTTTCACAAAGGTTCACATATCCTCTCATCATGCTCCGCAAATGTTGCGCAACATTTGGAATTTGTTGCGCAACATGTCCCTGGACCAAAAAACCAAAAAACCAAAGAATCCCAGCCATGGTGGGGGCTAGGATTGTTTTTTTGTTTTTTTGTGTGTTTTTTTGGTTTTTGTTTTTTTGGTCCACAAAATGGCCTTGCAGAAATGCATGAGTTCAATCAAAATACACTGTAAATATCAATGGTTTTGATACATGATGCAACAACACCTGGGTACTGGAGGGGGGGTACCATATAGATATATATATATATATACATATATAGATGGGGGGTGGCCACGTCGTCCCGTGGTCCAAGCGGATGCTTTCTGGGGCCCCAGCCAGCTCCCCCAGCAGCTCCCGGCGGGGGCCGCCCCAGGGCTCCGCCACTCCATGCCTCATTCCCCCCAAGAAGCGAAGGCGGCGCGCCTTGTTTCGGGTTGGACCCCCCTCAAAAAAAAATGCGGGGAAACCCGAATGAAGAAAACCACAACAAATGTGGCTTTCCTTGCAACAAACACAAATGAGAAAAGAAAAAGGTACCAAACAAAAAAGAAGATAGACCCAGATGCTTGAATGCTTCATGTTTAGGCCCTAAAACTTGAGAAATAGTTCCCGTTCTGAGCCAGACGCCAAAACCCTATGCCCTTCCTCCCACAAATTCCGGGTTGCCGTTTAAAGGAATCTTCCATCAGGTTCCGGGAGTCTATCAGACTAAAGGCTTCACCTCAAAACCCATGGCCGGCAAGTGAGTGCCCATGTCTGCCCACGGCCCAAGCCAAAAAAAAACACAAGGCTGGCATCCAAGGGGTCCACTCGAACCGTCATGCGCCCAGGTCCCAGGTGTGGTTGATGGTGTCTCTGACCAGTTTCCATCCTGAAAATATCCGACACCCCCCCCACTTGCAGGAATCCTCAAGGTGGTGACAGTATTTTTGCAAGATACCCCTTGTTGAGGCCTGCTTCAAGGAAAAGAAGAGAAAGCACCACTTGAGGCCTGCTCAAAACCCTTGCCTTTGCAAGGCCCGGGGAACGCAAAAAAAGGCCGGGTCGGATGAGGTTTGTGGTGGGGTGAGTCATGTTCGGCCAGGCCCCCGGACGCTCGACGACGGTCAAGCGCTTCATGCAGGCCGTTGCCTCAGTCGAGGAGATGCCTCAAAATGAGGCGATGGATTCCATTCGAGGAGTTCGTCTTGTTGTCCCGTTGCCCCTTTGAAGCACAACCCCCCAACTGGGTATCCAGTTCCCAACATGCATCATCATAAAACAAATGGGACAACAGGGTGAGATGCCTCATGCTGGTTTCTTTGATGGTCAAAGTTCCCACCTTGGCCCGTGTCTTTCAGCCCAGAAACCACAAACCGATCTAAGGCATCGCTTGGGCCACGGACTTATCCCCAGCATCGCCTTGAATTCTTCCGGCCTAAACTTGTCTCGAGTCTGCCCAATGTCCCATGGCAACGCCGGGCCGCGGCCCGTTGTTCAGCAGCCGCTGCCGACCTCGCGGCTTGGGCAATTGGCAATTTTCGTCCAGGTCTCCAGCCGCTTCTGAGCTGCCGGCCGCTCCTGGACGGCGGCTCACCACATCCAAGACCTCAACTCACACATTGGGGTCTATCCACTCACAATGCCACGCTTCGCTGAGGCAGGAACACACCCATGTTGCGGCAGTCTGACCTGGCAAGGGAATGACAGAGGTGCAACGTCAAATGCTTGGCGCCACTGTCCCGCCTTGATCGTCTGTGATCGAGGCATTGGCGCCCGCTTGCAGGAGGCGGTTTGCGCAAGCTAAGCTGCCCGTGAGCCTGAATTCCACAGATCCCTCTGCGGTCTCGCCGCCTTCGCCTCTCCCCGTACAGTCTGGGGTTGCTGCGCAGCGAGCATCAAGGGAGTGACGCCTGCTGCACAAGGGTTGTGCGAAGCATGACATCTTCCGCGCCTTTCTTGGCCATGGCATCAACGGCTGCCCGAGCGTCCACGAGCGAGGAAACCTAGCGGCCCACAGCTCGGTTCTCGCAGCCTGGCCTATGGCGCATCCACTCCGGCTGGTCCTGATCATGCCTCCCCAAACACTAAGGCCGCGGCGGCTTGCTCCGACCCCGCAAAGGCGGCAAAATGAAGCGCCGTGAGACCTTCCTGGGAAGGCGAAACGCGCCTCTCTTTGCGTGCTTTTTGCAGGCTCGGGCAAACTTGCAAGCGGGGGGCCCGGATCGACCGCGCTGACTCCCATTTTATTGGTACTGCTTTGCATGACTCTGGGCAAAGGGGAGAAAGAGAGAACCATCAACAGCACTGACCGCAGAATCATGGATCAAAAGTGAAGCTATCGCAAAGCACCAAAGTAAAGAGCCCAGTCCTGGTCAGCTCGGAAGCCCACGCCGACTTGCAGCAGCCGTTGCAGCACCTGTGCCGCCCTTGGCTCTGCCACGACGCTCATTGCCGCGTACTCCTTGGATCGATGTCGATTGGAATCGGATTCCACATCGTTCGAATCGGTGAGGTCGGCACCAGGATACTGCGGCCAGCTGTGTCACAGCAGCCTTCGCCCACCTCCTGCACCTCTTGTGGCCCCATGGCCTCCGGAACCGCATGAGCGTCTAACGTGAACCCCACGTGCAAGAAGCATGCTCCGGCCTCCAACGTCTCTGCCACCCAGTCCCACTTGCCTCAAGTAGCTTCCCGTCCTCTGCGGAATACCCACACCATGCGGCCAAGCTGCCGAAGCTCGCGCGACGCAGCACCTGCATCCAAACCATGTGTCCAAGCGACTCGGTCCAACTCAGCTTCGGCTTGCCTTTGAAGAAAGGTGCTCCCCGCCTCTTGCGAAAGCCATCCCACGAGCTCCGAGCCCACCTCAGGCGCATGTCTGTGCACACCGCTCAGACTCATAGCATCTCATAGCGTGAACAGGTATCACACTGCGGCCCCCTTTGTCTCTCTCCCGGGCGGAGAGCCGACGTCGCCGATCTTCCTCGGGCCCCGAAGAGGCCCATGTTCCGCGCTGATCTCGTTCTTCGTGCACGCTGCGCGCGGCTCGACTTCAGGCTTCTGCATGGGGAGGTGCTCGCTCAGTGCACGAAGTGCCAGAGCAGGGTGCCCCAAAGGCCGAGCTTGCATTCATCCTCAGATGCCAAATCACAAAGTGTTGCTTTGAGAAATTTCGGCATGGAACACATTGTAACCCTCCTACATGAGATACGGCACTTACCCACCCCTCCCAAAGGCTTCGGTTTCTCTTTGGTCTCTTTCACAAGAGGGGCAAGCCAAGCCCTACATTGGACACAGGGCACCCATTTGCCCCGAGTCAAGTGACCACCTTGCTCCAGCGGATGAGCTCCTTCAACCAGACCACGGCCCGGCCGCGGAGCGCCACGAAGCCGGACCCAGGCAAGCGGTTGTTCACCAGCAGCACCCCGTCTTTCGGTCCTCAATGACTCAAGTTCACGTTGGGACGATCCAGCACGAAACTGCTCCTGGGGAAAGTTGGCTACCGGACCAATCCCTTGGAGAAAGACAAATACATATGGTTCTACTTGAATCAAAGACAGCCAGCTCACTGCTTGCATTCATGCAATCCGGGCGTCCCAGGCTGGTGGCAGAAACACCAGAGAGCCACGGCCAGTAGAAGGTCTTCAGCTTCCGGCCCCTCTCCATTCGCCGAATGTTTCCTCCAGAAACAAAACTGAAAGTCCCAACAAAAGCAAAGTACAGCCCCACTCGTCCATAGCTACCTTGGACATGTACACCGTTTTGCGGGGGTAACCAGGGGCTTTGCAGTCGAGCCAATAGAAAACTTAAACTGGGCGGCAAAAAACCACCTTGCGATCCAACAGGGTTCAGGATTGAAGCTCAAACGGGTGTGTTTTTTGAAGGTACCCTTTTCACATTGAAGAGAATCCAAAGTCTTTGAAGTGCGATTTGTCCTTAGTGTGACACGGAAAGCATGCTATCGCCAAACAAGATTCTCGCGCAATGCGCAGCCATTTCTTCCGCAGGGAAGGAGTTCTTCGGCAGAGGGTCAAGCCCGGGGACCTGCTCAATTCCATCTTGCTAACTATGGCGGAAAAAGATATGAGCCAGGGCCAATAACTAATTTGACTGCCCTCATGAAAGCACGGGCGAGCTCTGTGAAATTGAGTGAGTTCCCACACATTTCTGCACGCTCACCGGAAAGTCTCCTGCCAAGCCTTGTCAGCACAGTTGCCAATCGTGAAGATATTCCCTTTCGCAAAAGGGACCAGCGTGTCCTCGCAGCCCAAAACAAAGGTGCCCCAGATCACATGGGAATGAGTTGGAACTCGTTCTGGGATTGCTGTGCTAGGTTCGAGTGTGTTTAAAAATCATGGCCTGCCTTGCCAAGGGGTAGGCGGATGACAAATGGAGGGTCCAATGGTCCAAGCCGATTTTGTCCAAGACCCGGATGCACTCCTCCACGGCCCGAGCCACCTGCAGTGTCCTCGGCAAACCAAACGAAAGCTCCATACTCCCAGGTTGGAATGAAATGGAAATGAAATGAATGAAATGGAAATGAAATGAATGAAATGGAAATGAAATGGATGAAAGAAATGAAAGAAATGAAAGAAATGAAAGAAATGAAAGGTAGGGAAACTATGCGCTTTTGTGCATGCCCTGCGTCGGCATGCACTTCACCCAGCCCCTGTCTGTCAGGCAGTCCGAGGGCAGAAAGTCACAGTGCCTCATGCCACGCCGTGCGAGACTCATTCGCTGTTGTAATCAACGCGTTTCTGAGGGGAGCGCGGGGTCATCCCAATGCTCCTGAAGACTCGAGTGGGCGTAGACTGGCCCAGCTTCCTCCAGAATTGGGTCGAATTGGAGTCTACGTACTTCGCCCCGTAGAATGTCCTCAAGGCAACACCCCGTTGCATCACCATTTCGTAAAACCTGCTTCCAAGCAACAAACACACCCTGGGACTAGTTATGCGCTTTGCTTCCTGAAAATGAGACTTTCTTTGGGCCCGGGTTCGAGATGTTGTGCTTGTCTAAGTACTTCTGGATGTAGACTCTGGCTCCCTTGCCCATCGTCGGGCAGCAGCACACGTTTCTGCTTACCAGGCTGATCTGTAGCCTGGGGAAGTAGTGCCGCAACTCAGCCGCAAACTCCACCTGACAAGAGGGTCCGATGTCTGCTTGCGAATGAGCAGAACGGGAATCTCGGCTAGCTTCCATTTGCGAACACAAGCAAATACAACAACGGAGTGCCTTTTTCTTCCTGGAGCATGGCGAATGCATGCGAATGCTGGTAGTCTCAGCCTAATGCAGCCTTGCTGCACCTACGTAGCCCGCACCGATGACAGCGACATGACCGCCCTCTGCATCCAATCTGACAAGACGATCATGCTCCTCGCAAGCAGTCCAGCTCTCAAGTGAATGGGAAAGTTTTTAGCAACGAGAATGCCCGTCCTGCAACAAACCCGCTGCTCACGAGATGAATCTGCAGCTAAGATTCATATTGAATCTGGGTCTGTCTGCCTGCTGCGCATCTAGGTTCCCATCTTGGATCAGTGCGCCTCAGAATTAAAGCAGAAAGGGCAGGTGCGGTAGTCTCATGCACTGAGGGACAGCAAGGGCCTTTGTCTTAGCGGCTACTCATCTCTGCCTGTTTCCAAAGAGTCCACAATGGGCCATTTTGCGGTACACCATTCGTCACGCATTTGCCATCTTCAGACCAAGATTCGCCTCTGAAGACACAGCCCACAGGGTACTTCCATGCTCGCAGCCGGTGGCCACAATGCAGTAGTCCTTGCTTGCTCTGCATCTGACGGACTTGTTTCCCACTTCTCACGGTATCTTCTCTCAGTTCCAAGGGTCGTAGGGCAGATTCCGGAACTTCCCCAAGGTTCGATTTTTCAGGTGGACGATCACCTCACGGAAAAACAAGCAAGCTGCACAAACCATGCTTGCGCGCGGGTGCAACAAAGAAGGAACACGCGTGCCTCCTTGTCGGTGATTTTCTCGGCAGCGCCCCAAATCCACGTCACCTTCATCTTGTCGCACACTGCGGCGTAGTCCAAAACAAGCCTCTGGTGAAGGTCCGGCTGAGAGTACGGCCGCACCATGCCAGGCAAGAATTCAAAGTACCTAGGCCCGAAAGGAAGCACCGCCCGAAAGATCGCTGCTTGTAGTCCCTATTGTTCGACCAACCCCCCAGGCTTAGGGTCAAGCATGTTTCAACTGTCTCCGCAGAGCCAAACAGGTGCCTTGAAAAGGAACATGCGGTGCCGAAGATTTTCATCAGGCTATTTCCCCAACAAACATCTTCTGGGGGGTGCCCTTCAGAGGGCCGTCCTTGCTTGTTCCCCCAATCTTCGCCTTTTGCAATGCTTATTTGATCTATGAAAGAGATGGATCCGATTGAACAGGTGTTGCAAAGACCTTCGCAAAAGCGGAACACTCCCAAACCAGCGAGGTCCAAACCACCCACGAGCCGTCGAGGCGCTGCTTCGCGTCGATGAGTGTCACGTCGAAGTCCCGGCGCAGGTGCCGCACCGCCGCGAGGCCCGCGAAGCCGCCGCCTGGGAAAAAGCGCTGCACTCGTCACACGCTGCAGGGGGACCCAAACCGCCCCCAAACCCCACGCATCTGCAGGGGCAAGACTAAAAATGACCATGTTTGGAGGTGTGTTTGGGGTGGTGTGTTTCCGGGGTCCCAGGAAGAGCTCTATGAACTTACCCGGTTCGGGGCTCAAAATATGATACCATGGGTTTAGGAAACTGTGATTGGAATTCCCCAATAGTCTTGTGTTTCCCCAAGGGATCCATCAGTTTCGAGATTGGATGCTCATATGCTTGTCCTGTGCAAACGACCAGGCTCAAAGCTGCGCCTTTGCGCCTTTGGATTGCTCAATTTTGGGAAGGTTCAATCATACCCAGAACTGGACGCAAGATTCACAAGCCTGCTGGAAAGCTGCGATGCGAAACGCCCAAAGAATTGGTTCATTCGAACCCGTGCTTCTTCGTTCAAGGATTCGGGCACCAAAGACGGCCGAAGATGGCATCCTCTAAGGTGCTTGGGAGCAAAGTGCGCGCAACCCTCTCATGGGCTCCCTGCTGAAAAGGACAAGGGGAAAGGTTCTTTAATGGCTCAAATCCTGCAAATGTTGGTTCCAGCCCAACGCATCAGCCGGCTCAGCTGGCCATCAGGTCCAAGGCAAGGGAACAAAAGGCCAAAGCAATGAAGACCTTGCGTCTTGCTTTGGGGCAAGACAAGAAGCTTCTGGATTTCCTCCCACCCAAGCCGCTCATTCATTGCCGCTCGCGGCTTCCTTTCACCTGGGACTCCAAAGTTTGAGCCGGGCAGGTTCGACACCCGAGGCACCGATGACCACGATCTTCTTCTTCACGGCAAAAGGCCGCACATGGAGCTGCAGCTGCGCTGCAGACAGCAGCAGCCACAGAAGCCCTAGCCTTGGATCGATTGAGTTAGGCGAGTATGACGGGCAAGTCCATAAAATGGGAAGGGCGAAGGCGGCAAGTGGCCTGCGCAAACGCTGCCATGTGCCTCTCCAGCACGAAGCCATCGAGCGCTTGAGCAAAGAGCTGGTGCAAATTCGAACTCCGAGACTGACTCCGAACTCCAAACTCTGAACTCCGGGCTGTCTCATCTCCGGGGCCGCAGCCCAGCCGGCCGCGACGGACACGTGGCCAACGCGCCTGTGCTAGTCCGCAAGCACGAGTTCGGCTCAGAGCTTACGCGCCTTGAAGCAAAGGCTCGAGACCTCGCGTAAGAAGCGTCCAAGCATTTGGCAGTTGCTGGCGCTTCACCTAAGCTGCCGGCCACAAGGGCTCATGGCGCTCACGGACTGTGGGTACCTGACAGTTGCCAAAGGCGTTAAACACATGGCCCTGAAAATCCAAAGGCCCTGCCTTGAAGAGAGCTGTTGCCTCAAATGCGGCACATCGCGAAACTGCCCAAGCAGGGAAAAACTAAGAGGTCAAGGGGCAGCAAGTTTGTCTCCCGAAGGGCGCTCAATAACGAGGACCTGGAGACTCAAAGGCCCAACTTGGCCAAACTTTTGGCGCACGGCGCCTGCGCTTGAAGACCTCCTTCTGCTCGACGCTCCTGACCTATGCTCGCTCTCGCGGCCCCTCAAGGAGGACGCATGGTGTATGCAAAATGCAGGTTGGGAAGTGAGTAAGAAGCGCAGCACGTGTCAAAGTGGTTGCTGTCTTTGCTGCTGCTGCTGCTGCTGGCTCGATTTGGTGTCATCTTGGTGTTAGAATGGGTTTCGGCTGCGTTGGAGCTTGCGCTTGGCTTCGGTGCTTCATGCTGGGTAGGGTTTGGGGTTTGGGTGAGTGGACTAGATTGAATTTGGATTGGCTTCTGGCTGTTTTAGGGCTGTTCACAATCAAACTTGTGGTGTTCATGGCGGGCTTGGGTTGCTTGGGCGGGGCGTGGCCAAGGGTGAGACTTGAGATGACTTGAGGCGGCCGTAGTTTTGCTGGAGCTCTATGAGGCTGGCTTCTGGTTGGGATTGGTTGTGGAGTGGATGGGGGTGAACAAGGGTGAGCCCAGATTTTTTTTTTGGTTTCGGCAGAGCTGGCTTTAGTTGGAGAGTAGAATGGAGTTGGGCGTGTTTAGGATGGGCACAGGGTGGGCTTCGGTTGGGTTGCACTAGGCTGGACGGAAAGTATCATCACACTCTTCTCTGTGCCCCAAACACTTCTCTGTGCCCCAAACTCACATGGGAATTTAGCGAACGCTTCTTTGCTGGATGCCAGTTTCCGTCAATAATAACGCAGTCGGCTTGTAATCCCATTTTGTTATCAAAGGCCTCTCGATCCAAAAAAATACGACCCTGGGTTGTCCGAGGGCTTGCTCCTTTCGCAGAATACATGTGTTGCTCAAGATGGGACTCTACCATCAGACGGGACTAACCCAGGGACTGCAACGAGTCCCAGTGAACCCTCGCGCCACTCTGAGGGCCGTGCGGACAGCCTCGCCTTCGAAGGCCAGCTCCTCTCCCATGTACCAGCTGCTGTGCCCGCCTGCGAAGTGAGGCAATGTGTCAGCTTTTTTGGGGGACCCCCCATGGTGGTTCTTTGGTCTTCCCCCAAATCCGGTGGAAACCAGAGCCTCAAGCAATTCACGCCAACATCTTGCACTGGCGAGTGTGGCGGGCTCGCCTTTGTTGTCCCCCCTGACCGTCCCTGTCGTCTTTGACTCGGCATAGGAGGACCTCGGCTTTTGCCGCAATGCCGCAACAGAAACACATCGACGTAAAAAGGCCCTGGCTCAGGAAACAACGCCAATGTGATCGCCGCCCGAGGCCTTGGGAACTTGGAACTCGCAAACTCCCGTAGCGTGCGGGAACGTGTGTGTGCAGAGCATTCGTCGAACTTGTTAAGCGCCGTCACCGTTTTTTTCTTGGAGTGTCACCGTCTATCGACATTTGTGGAACAAATGGGCACCCTGCAGAAAGAGGCGAACTTCGCATGCGAGCTCGACATTGGGTTCCAGCCACCTGCAGAAACCCAATGTCGAATCCGGGCAAGCCAAGCAATTGCCAATGTTCAGAAATCCTGGCTCAAAGACTTGAAGCCATGGAAAGTCCCTGCCTGTCCCTGACCTCGACAACTCCAATGAGCATTCGCCTCAATCGCCCAAGGCTGGCTTAGATCGCACGGGAAAACATGACGTGGAACCATACAGGGTCTGAGTGAATTGCTGAAACACATCTCTCTGCTTGCGAAATCCGCATCAAGAAAGCGAGAGTCGCCCTCGATGACATGTTGCAACATCATTGCAGGACACTGAATCCTGCGCTGGACAACATGATTGCTTCTCACGGATGATGTAACGTGCGTGAATAAACTCTATTTTGTAGCAGTCTTTGCTCGAAATGAAGTACCCAAGAGGTGTCTCCGTTCACGCCGACACTCCGTTTGCAAGCCACATGCCGGAAGAAAGCGCGTGTTGCTAAGTTACAAACTCGCAACTGAGTCAGCTTGACCTGTGACACAAACAACCTGGGTGAGTTGCATGTCGCCAGCCAAATAGCATGGACGCATGACTCAATTTGCCGCGCGTTTGCATTCATGAACCTTGCGCCAACCACTTTGAGGCTGGGCGGAGACCTGGAGAGAATCGTAGAGAGAAAAGAAAAATTGAGAGAGATATATTCGGACGAGAGGGAGAGAGAGAGAGCGATAAAAAAAGAAGAAAAAAAGAGAGAGAGAGAGAGAGGGAGAGAGAGAGAGGTCGCGCACTTCGCTTCTGATCGACCCGACTCCCTTCCACTTTGCAGACTCCTTTCGGCGCCGGCCCTTCGTTCTCAATCAGCCCTCTCCCCGATTGAGACTCCGGCAGCGGGGCTTCCAT